GAGGGGTTTTCAGCAGGGCTGGTCGCCAACGGGGTCGAGCCACTAGCTGCTTCTGGCCGGCAGGCCCCAGGAATCAAGCGACTCAAGCTTTCTTCCCATCAAGACCACCGTTCACTAGAGGATCCTTCCGTCCCAAAGGGGCTTGTACCCGCGGCCGCAGGCGCATCAATACAGGTGAGCACTCCACAACTAATGTATTGCCCATCACATGTCACTGCTGGCAGACTGGCAGATATCCTCAGACGCCTGGATCCTCCAAACGATCAGGGGTTACGAGATCGATTTTACGGACACACCGACCCAAACACGTTGCCCGCAACCGATACGGGCGTCGGTGGGGCATACCAAAATCATAGACGACGAAATCCGAAACCTATTCCTCAAGTGAGCAGTCGAACTCGCTCCAGACGATACGGGGTTTCATCAGCAATATATTTGTAGTCCAGAAGAAGACGGGAGACTACCGACCCATCATCAATCTGCAACAACTAAATACATTCTTAACCTACAGACACTTCAAAATGGAGGGCATACAACTCCTCAGAGACTTACTTCTGGAGCACGACTGGTTCACTCGATTGGACTTAAAGGATGCCTACCTGTCGGTTCCGATAGCCCATTCCAGCCGACCTTTCCTTCGCTTCCGCTGGAGAGGACGCACGTGCCAATTCACATGCCTCCCGTTCGGTCTCAGTTCCGCCACTTGGTGCTTCACAAAACTACTGAAGCTGGCCATGGCGCACTTGAGGACAATGGGTATCCGGTGCCTGATATACCTGGACGACATACTGATATTCTGCGAAAATGCATCCAGACTTCGATCTCAGACGAGATTTATAGTGCACTTTCTGGAATCATTAGGCTTCATTGTGAACAGAGAAAAGTCATCACTCTCTCCATCGAAAACCGTCCAGTTCCTCGGATTCGAGATAGACTCGGTGACATGCACACTACGTCTTCCCAAATCGAGGATTGCGAACATTCGGAAGGAGATACGGTGTTTTCTGCGGAAAGACACGGTCCCTCTGAGACTCCTGGCCAGGATAGTCGGGCTGCTGTCGTCCTCCATACAAGCAATCTTCCCGGGACCCCTCCACTACCGGGCCATGCAAAGACTGAAAGCTCACCACCTAAGACGGGGGCACTCATACGACCAAAGGATCGGGATAACTGCAGAAGTTCGGACGGAACTTCGTTGGTGGCTCCTCCACATGGAAGCTTGGAACGGCAGAGCCATATTCGGTCCGAACCCGGACTTCATTCTGGAATCGGACGCCAGTCTGTGGGGCTGGGGAGCCCACTGCGCACACGCATCCACGGGGGGACCTTGGTCAGAAGAAGAAAAGCTGCTGCACATCAATTGCCTAGAGCTGATAGCAGGCTCCTTCGCTATCCGCAGTCTAGCCAAAAACATGTCCAATTGCTGCATACTTCTACGCATGGACAACATATCTGCAGTCCAGTACGTCAATCATCTGGGGGAGCCAGGTCACGAGCATTGACAGAGGCTACGAAGGACATATACCGTTTTTGTCTTTCCCGCAACATAACTATCAGAGCGGAATACTTACCGGGTCTCAACAACCTCACCGCGGATTGGTTCTCCCGTCATTGGCGGCACAACAGCGATTGGCACCTGCACACAACGATCTTAAATATGGTGAGAGCACTCAGAGGACCACTACACATAGACCTTTTTGCCTCGCGCACGAATACGCAACTACCGAGGTACTACAGCTGGCTACCGGACCCGCAGAGCGAAGCGGTAGATGCATTTCTGCAACACTGGCCCCCGATCGGAGCATATGCATTCCCACCATTTTCGATGCTGGCAAGGGTGCTTCAGAAGCTACGCATGTCCAAGACATTGTTGATACTAATAACACCATTATGGAGAAGCCAGGCATGGTTCCCAGACTTACTGGCACTGTCACAGGACCATCCACTAGTCCTACCAACGTTTCCCATGCTTCTCACGAACCAGAGTGCGGAACCTCATCCACTAATCTTGCAAGAACGTCTAGAATTGGTAGTCTGGACTCTTTCAGGGGATCTTGGGCAATCCCAGGCCTATCGCAAACGACTAAAGATCTACTATGGGACTCATGTGTGTCGGCTATTACGGGGCATCAAATTTGCCAGACCCCCGGCTCCGAAATATAACCGATTATGGCATGTGGTTATCCGTTTCATCCGGGATTGGCGGGATAACACGGCCCTATCACTCCGACAACTAGCAGCCAAACTGACCTTGTTATTATGTCTAGTCTCCTTCCGGTGTGTTTCAGATGTTCGGGCTTTCGACGTGGACGGGTTTATTATAACCCCCATCGGTGTTAAGTTTTTGGTATCCCGCAGGACTAAGACGGGCTCCAAGTCCGTGTCCTATCCATTTTTTCCGTCGGTTCCTCGCCTCTGTGTCGTCAATACTTTACTCCGTTATGTGGAGGTTACGGCGCCCCTTCGGTCTTCCGGAACGGGACAACTGTTAATTTCGTATACCAAACCATACAAACCAGTTACAACTACTACGTTAGCCAGATGGATACAATGGTTATTATCTCTAGCCGGAATAGACACTAGTTTTGGGGCCCATTCGGATCGGGGGGCGGCGGCATCTAGGGCCTTCTCGGCGGGAGCCTCCTTGGCGGACATTTTACGTACGGCGGATTGGACCAGAGAAAATACCTTCAGGGTGTTTTAGTTTCGTCAATCATCGCACGCGTCCTTATCGTTTTTACCTCAGCGTTAAAAATGCAAAATAGGAAGCCTCCTGTCATGTAATAAAATTGTAGATAATGCTAACGTAGTGTACAGATAATCTTAATTTTAATAATGACAGGAGGCGAGTATTTTCCCTCCCTTTTTTTCTTCTATCCCTCCCTATACTCTTGGGACTGTTTTCTCTTCTCTACTTTGTAATTAGTTACTTCAAGTTACGCATAGTATAGGATATAGGTAAAAACTGGGCTATGGGACGCTTAGGTTACATGATGATAGATAGCCAGCACATCACTTTCAGGTCATAATTGTATCACACGATAGACACATGGTTATACTTCATCAAGAGATACTAAACGTTATACATTGTTAACCCTTAAGATCAGGAATATATTGATATGTGGACAACAGTTGTTTTCCCACGCCTTTCATTTGTTTCTGTTTCTTTCAGCATAACGTCACGTCATAAGGCGGAAGTCGGATTTTCAGGATTCCTCCATTTATACCACACAAGTTGCCAAGATTCTACCGTTCAAGTTTTTTCGTTATAGCCTCTGAAGTTTTCTCCAGGCATGGTTACATCAAAGAAAGAGGAAATGGAACGCCTGTATAGACTTATACACAGGATGTGCTGGACTCTGATTGGTTAAAAAAAAATTCTTCAAAATACTCGCCTCCTGTCATTATTAAAATTAAGATTATCTGTACACTACGTTAGCATAATCTACAATTGTGTTCGCTGCAAAGTCTTAATCAGTGAGAACTATTTTTTTTAGGATTTAGCTAATCAATATTAAAATCTCCAACGACCAACAGTTCACTTTTTGGGTTTTGAGCTATGGTTTCACTAAGGAGATGGGCTATGCCAGATAGGGAATGCACTAGGGAGCTAGGTGGGTGGTAGATTCCTGCAACAATGATTGATTTACTGCACATGATCTCAATTGTGCCAGAAAGGAAATCAAAGTTGGCAGGGGGGCTAAAGTTCTGTAAGGGGGTAAACTTTATGGAATTGTCAACATAATTGTCTTTGCTCTGTCATTTCTAAAACATGAATAACCCTGTATTGCAATGGCGGAGTCTGGTATTTTAGTCGTTAACCATGATTCTGAGAGCACAATGATTTTTGGTTTGTAATGGGAACACCAGGCTTGCAGTGCATCCAGTCTAGGGTGTAAGCTACGGATGTTGCAGAGTGTTTACCAGATGTCTGATGAGTGAGGCACTGCCAAAATCATGAACTGCCATAAATTTTTTCAAAGAGTGCTGGCCCTTTAAACAGTCACCTAACAAGAGCATGACTTTACATCTACCACCATTATAAATCTATGGAACCTTGTGCCTATCTTTCAGTCCATTCGCAGGTCAGCCTTTTTTCCCTCCCCACCTACCAAAAACAGGTTATCGCACCAGCGCAAAATACAAATAACATATAAAAAGGGGCAGACATAAACAAACCGATACAATAATCCAGCCTTGCCCACTAATTTACAGTATATATTCTCACTGTGTTCTTTACGTTACATAATACAGCATCGAACCTGCCAAGCTAGCGCTGTTATGATACTGGAGATTACTATGGAGTTGACGCTTGGATTATGGCCTGAACTCAATATCTTCTTTTTCAGCACTTGTTGAAAATGAAGAACTAAAATACAGTAATCTCACACCTGCAAAGACCAAGAGCTTACTGTGTTTTTACTAATCATAAAACGTGCACAAAACAAACATATACAAACTTAATGGTATTTATATAAAGTGTTCTTTTAATTCCTTGTGTTGAACCTTTAGGACAGAAATATAAGAACATCTAGTGCAGAGCATCTATACACTTTACAAACATATAATCAGGTAAAATCTTATGGTATCAAATTGTGTACTACTCTCTCTTTAAGAGCCCTGGAGGGATCAAGCTGATTGAGTTCGGTGGACCCACCAGGCACAAACCAGACCGCAGACAGAGGCTATTGGTATTTGCAAAGCTTTTATTATGCTTGTTTGTATAGGGAGAGGTGTTAGCAGTAGAAATATGTAAGTGCTCATGCCATTGTACAGAGCACTGGTGAGACCGCACTTGGAGTATTGTACTCAGTACTGGAGACCGTGTCCCCAGAAGGATATTTTTTTCAATTCTTTATTTTTGAAGTGCATTGCAAGTTTTACAGAATAAAAAATAAATAAAAAAAGACACTGCAGAAGGTAACATTAGAGTGGATACACAGGATGATTGAAATATATGTCTAAGTCTCTGCACAATTTTTTAAATTTAGAGTATGGTACGATGAACAGAGGTAGCTTATAATACGTAAAGAAAGTAAGTTAAACAGAATTGCATGAGACGGTAAACGCTAAAGAGTAAAAGAAAAAGAAAGGCATATCGAGTAAATGCCCCTGGATCCCAAAAAACAAGCAATTTAAATATACAGCCTGTCTGGGAAGCAACAGTAACTCCTATCATAACTGCCCAGCAGCCCATGGAAAGGTGACCACAATCCCCCTGTCGAGAACATCAAATGCATCCCGGCAGGACACAGCCACAAGCTTCATATTCAGGCCCATTACCGATATCCCGCCAGTCCACCATGAAGGTCACATAAGCCAGACACGAATTTGAGTAATGTGCAAGGGCCCAGGAAATCTTCTTCAGGATTGGTTTGTCACTTGATGCCGTAGAACGGCTCGTTGAGTTACAGCAGTGTGTAAGCAGAGTTAGAGTAGGCGTTTTCTGTAAGGAGATGGGGTTCGGCAAGTATTTCGGATGGTCCATCTCAATTGGGGATTGGGTCCCAGCGGCCAGGCTCCCCAGGGGGCCGCGTTGGGCCTCAATGTCGATTGCTAACGCCCCAGTCCGGGTCACAGGAGCTGCTTGCAACTGAGATAGTGTTACCCATAAGTGCCCGCTGAAGGCGTCAAGAGCTTTGAGGGAGATCGCCTTCACCATGGGATGCTCGATGTGCACAACCGGCTTACAAACTTACAAGGAAAGGTTAAAGGATCTTAACATGTATAGCTTGGAGGAAAGACGAGATGGGGGATATGATAGAAATATTTAAAATACATAAAGGGAATCAACACAGTAAAGGAGACTATGTTTACCTGAGGACATAGTCTTAAATTAGAGATGCCATGGTTTAAAAACAATATCAGAAAGTATTACTTTACAGAGAGGGTGGTGGACGCATGGAACAGCCTTCCAGCTAAAGTGGTAGAGGTTAACACAGAAAAGGAGTTTAAGCATGTGTGGGATAGGCATAAGGCTATCCTAACTATAAGATAAGGTCAGGGACTAATGAACGTATTTAGAAAATTGGGCAGACTAGATGGGCTGAATGGTTCTTATCTGCGGTCACATTATATGTTTCTATGCTGTGACGACCCCTTGCATCTCTGACTCAGCTGATCAGGGTTTCCACCTGCCCTGGGTATAAACACACTTTCATTTTTACAGCTGCTCTTTCACCATTTCTCAGTTTATATTTTATTATCGGATAAATTATTAACTTTTCGTTTTTCTACATTTTGTTGTTCTGCTGCACTGATTCCTGGACTCCTGCTTGCTTAATGTTTCTGCTTTCAAAAGATTATTTTCTTGATGATACGGACGTGCTCACATAGTGCCTTTTTAATGCATTGCTTTTTGCAGGATTAATAGATGGTGCTTGTGGTAAGGTTTTAAAAAGCAATCTATGGAAACACTCTCTATGCTGCCCAGACAGCATGACTTGTGGTAAAGCAAAAAAAACACAGAAGGAGGAAGTATAGTGTAGAAAACCTTTGGGTTAAAAGATTTCAGTTTGTTAACAAAACTCTAGTGCTGGAGTTATGAACACAGCCCACATTATATTCGGTATATTAATTATTAAAGGGACACTACAGTCACCCAGACCACTTCAGTTTAATTTAGTGGTCTGGGTGCCAGGTCCTCCAGGTTTTAACCCTTCAGATGTTAACATAGCAGTTTCAGAGAAACTGCTATGTTTACATTGCAGGGTTAAGCCAACCTCTGGTTGCAAAACTCACATCCAGAACGTCCATAGGAAAGCATTGAGAAATGCATTCCTATGGACTGTTTGAATGCGCACGCGGCTCTTGCCATGCATGCGAATTCCGCTCCACTTGGGTGCTGATGTCGGCGGGAAAGGAGAGATCACCAGCGCAGAGGGAGCCTGCCGCTGGATTAAAGTATCTTAAGGGGTTTTAACCCCTTCAGTGCTAAGGGAGGGGGTCCTAAAGATGATATAGTGTCAGGAAAACAAGTTTGTTTTCCTGACACTATAGTGATCCCTTAATAACATGCTAGTGTTTTTGAGATGTATTAAGATCCATCTAGAGAAATGAAATCAAGTTGTCCTATATAAGAATAGCAGATACAGTTCGGTCTGGAAATATTTGGACACTCACACACATTTTGTTAGTTAGTTAGGCTGTTTACCAAGATAAATTTAAGTTACGGTTAAATTATGAATATGGGCTTAAAATGTAGTCTAACAGCTTCAATTTGAAGAAATTAACAGTCATATTGGAGGAAAGGTTTAAGAATTAAAGCTCTTTAATATGTAGTAGCCTCTTTTTCAAGTAATTGGACATTTGACTCAAAAGCTGTTTCATGGTCAGGAGTAGGCTATTTGTTATTTCTTCATCGGTTAAGCAGGTAAAAGGTCAGTAGCTGAATCCAGTTGTGGCATTCACATTTGGAAACTGTTGCTGTGAACCCACAATTCAAAGGAGCTCTCTATGCAAGTAAAACAAGCCTGCAAGGCTGCAAAAAAAAGAAAAAAAATTGTCTCCAAACACAGGAAATCCACCTAGTGGCTGACCAAGTCAGCCACAAAAGACAGCACAAGACAATATTGTAAACCTAGTCTCTTCTCAGAAAATTCTGAGTTTACAGTGCTGAGCTGCAGGAATGATTACTCCAAAACAATTACTTGAAGCCTGTGCCCATTGTCCCTTTCATTCTCTGCAATTTACAATTTATTAAGGCTGTCCTTACAGGAGAGATTTACGGAGGTATTAAAAGCAGAATCTTTCCCAGTAAGTTTTTAACTAACCACACAAATGAAATGTGTACACCTAGCACCATCACAATCCTCTGCAGAGTGTGTCCATTTAACAGAGGAAGGGATCACACATGATTAACGTGAGATCTCTATGCACCTTAGCTCTAAAACAGTGAACTTTATACACCTCCACGAGTTTCTTTTATCAAACTTTCTTTCATTTCTTTTTTTAGAAACCCACCCAAACTCACGAGGTTATACACCAAAGTGTGAATGGTTTGTAATTTAAAGTGAATTTTAAAAAGAACTCTCCACGATATATTTAGTATTAACATTAGTGTTGCTTTTTTTGTTTACATTACCGATCTCCCAAGGCACAGATCTCCATAGCAAGGATCTCTGACTATCCTGAAAAACTAATATTTTATCCCACATGCTATGTTGTAAGGTCAAAACGAGATCTGTAGCAGGGGAGGCACAGAGACTTTGTTCCCCTCCAGGCATTGGTCCAGGTATGTGCTCCTTCCATCAGGTATTACTTAGCTCAGGTTTATTTTACTGCAGAAATTGTGTGATAGGGAACACTACTCTGGTCACCCTCTCTCCCACATTTTGCTATAGTAATTACTATTGCTGACAAACAGTTCACTCATTTTGTGCAACTTTAATCTCCTCTTTTATCATTTCATTCCATTAAACATGTTCTGCGGAATCCACTGTAATCTGTTACTAATCCTATCTTCCTACCAAGCTAATATTTACGGAGCTCTCAGAAGTCACAAGCACCATTCTTGCTTTAATACACAAGTGGAAGTGTACTGTCTGGGGGATCTGGAGTGGCTTGCCTGTGCTTAGCTTTATTTATTTATTTCTGGCATTTATAAAGCGCCAACATATTCCACAGCGCTGTACAATTGGGAAAGACAACACAATAGGAACAGACCGATACAACAGGTATAGGGCCCTGCCCGTGAGCTTATAATCTAAATTATGATATTTAAGAGTAGGGTTAAACTGTAACTGAGTTGCAAATTATGTCAGTTAGCAGTAACCCAAGAATCTGACACATGGTTGAGAATAAAAAATCCAAAAGGAACTGCACTGAATTTACATGAGCCAAATTGGTGCTTAGCTAGACACTGGACAAGCACCAGCCCAGCGCTTGACAAAGACTCATCTGTCGGTCGAAATGTTGCGGTGTTCCCCTTGTTCCAATATTTGTGCCTTTAGAGCATTGGAGTGCTTGGACTTTCTTTCTTTAACTGGTTTAGAATAAAGATATTTATCTTTGATGGACTAGCAGAAATTGCCTGCCCTGGGCTGAGTCTGATGGGAGTTTACTTTGGAGAATGTGAAATGTACATTGCTGGAGAATACGCTGACTGCCTGTGTGTTGTGCGCTCTGCCAGTTAGGTTGTTACCCTACGATTGAGCATGATTTGATTTTAATAACTAGAACTTGCACGCCCCAGGGAGGAATGTCCCATTGTCTGAGCATGATTTGATTGGAATGCTCCACGGACTGAGCATGCTGGGAGTAGAATGTCCTACTGGCTGAGCATGCTGGGAGTAGAATGTCCCTAGGTGGGCTGAGCATGCTGGGAGTAGAATGTCTCTGTCCACTATGGGACATTCTACTCCCAGGAATGTCCCTGGGTGCGCTGAGCATGCCGGGAGTAGAATGCCCCTGGGCGCGCGGAGCATGCCGGGAGTAGAATGTCCCTGGGCGCGCACAGCATGCTGGGAGTAGAATGTCCCTGGGCGCGCAGAGCATGCCGGGAGTAGAATGTCTCTGGCCGCGCAGAGCATGCCGGGAGTAGAATGTCTCTGGGTGCGAAGAGCATGCTGGGAGTAGAATGTCTCTGGCCGCGCAGAGCATGCTGGGAGTAGAATGTCTCTGGGTGCGAAGAGCATGCCGGGAGTAGAATGTCCCTGGGTGCGCAGAGCATGCCGGGAGTAGAATGTCTCTGGGTGCGAAGAGCATGCCGGGAGTAGAATGCCCCTGGCCGCGCAGAGCATGCCGGGAGTAGAATGTCCCTGGGTGCGCAGAGCATGCCGGGAGTAGAATGTCCCTGGGTGCGCAGAGCATGCCGGGAGTAGAATGTCTCTGGCCGCGCAGAGCATGCCGGGAGTAGAATGTCTCTGGCCGCGAAGAGCATGCCGGGAGTAGAATGCCCCTGGCCGCGCAGAGCATGCCGGGAGTAGAATGTCCCTGGGTGCGCAGAGCATGCCGGGAGTAGAATGTCCCTGGGTGCGCAGAGCATGCCGGGAGTAGAATGTCTCTGGCCGCGCAGAGCATGCCGGGAGTAGAATGTCTCTGGCCGCGCAGAGCATGCTGGGAGTAGAATGTCTCTGGGTGCGCAGAGCATGCCGGGAGTAGAATGTCTCTGGCCGCGCAGAGCATGCCGGGAGTAGAATGTCTCTGGCCGCGCAGAGCATGCTGGGAGTAGAATGTCTCTGGGTGCGCAGAGCATGCCGGGAGTAGAATGTCTCTGGCCGCGCAGAGCATGCCGGGAGTAGAATGTCTCTGGGTGCAAAGAGCATGCTGGGAGTAGAATGTCTCTGGGTGCAAAGAGCATGCTGGGAGTAGAATGTCCCTGGCCGCGCAGAGCATGCCGGGAGTAGAATGTCTCTGGCCGCGCTGCAGTTCCCGCACGATCCGCTGGGGGCGGCAGAGCTGCCGCTGAATGTGACGCAGGACGTGTCGCGCCATGTGATTGGCTGTCCGCATTCCGTTGGTGGAATAATGGCTGCCTTCATTAAACACCGAATACCGCTCGCCCTCCGCCCGGCCAGGCCCGGCTCTGTCCGCCCCCCGCCTCGGAGTCCCGGCTCAGCCCGCCCGGCCCGCTCTGCGCCCTCACAGCCCCGGCAGCCAATCAGCGGCCGCCCTCCGCCTGTTGCTGGGCAGATTATGCTAATGAGGGCAGAGCCGCCATGTCTGCAGCTACCATTCTGAGGTGAGAGCAGGCTGGATTTTCCACATTAGCGGGGGTTGTTGTCGTGAGGGGTTGGGAGCCGCGAGGAGCCGGGCTGTGAGGGGCCGCTCTCCCCGCCGTCCCCGGGCCGCGCTGTGCGGTGGGTCCGAGCGGGGGTTGTTGTCGTGTTAGTCCCACCCAAAATGGCGCCGGCGCTTCCTAGCCCGAGTCCGGGGGGCGGCCGGCGGGTGATGGGGGGCCGGGGGGAGCTCCATCCCCGGGACACCGCGCTCCCCCCGCTGCGCGCAATGTGATGGTACCGTCCGATCCGCTGGGCCGCCGCACCTGAACCCGGGCCCGGGGGGGGGGGGACACCGCGCTCCCCCCGCCGCTCGCAGTGTGATGGTACAGTCCGCCCTCCTGGATCCGCTGGGCCGCCGCACCTGATCCCGGGCCCGGGGGGGGACACCGCGCTCCCCCCGCCGCACTCCGTGTGATGGTACAGTCCGCTCCGCTGGGCCGCCGCACCTGATCCCTGGCCGGGGGGGGACAGCGTCTGACAGGCCGGGAGAAGCGGGGCCGCCGGGACTGGGAGACGGTGTGACCGGGACAGGCCGACCGGCAGGAGGCTGTGTGTGCGGCCGGCCCCGCCATGGAAACCCACGCACCTTCACCCACCGGCCCGCTGGACTCCCCCGTACCCGACATGGGACTGCCCAGGATCACACGGGAGGGAGAGCTTTCCCGCCTTTTACCTCCTGCCTGGCACGTGGGGGGATAATAATATACTGAGCCCTGACCTGTAATAATAATAATATATATACTGAGCCCTGACCTGTAATAATAATATACTGAGCCCTGACCTGTAATAATAATATACTGAGCCCTGACCTGTAATAATAATAATATATATACTGAGCCCTGACCTGTAATAATAATATACTGAGCCCTGACCAATAATAATAATATACTGAGCCCTGACGTGTAATAATAATAATAATATATATACTGAGCCCTGACCTGTAATAATAATAATAATATATATACTGAGCCCTGATCTGTAATAATAATAATAATATATATATACTGAGCCCTGACCTGTAATAATAATAATAATAATATACTGAGCCCTGACCTGTAATAATAATAATAATAATAATAATAATAATAATATACTGAGCCCTGACCTGTAATAATAATAATAATATATATACTGAGCCCTGACCTGTAATAATAATAATATACTGAGCCCTGACCTATAATAATAATATACTGAGCCCTGACCTGTAATAATAATAATAATAATATACTGAGCCCTGACCTGTAATAATAATAATAATAATAATAATATACTGAGCCCTGACCTGTAATAATAATAATAATAATAATAATATATATACTGAGCCCTGACCTGTAATAATAATAATATACTGAGCCCTGACCTATAATAATAATATACTGAGCCCTGACCTGTAATAATAATAATAATAATATACTGAGCCCTGACCTGTAATAATAATAATAATAATATATACTGAGCCCTGACCTGTAATAATAATAATAATATATACGGAGCCCTGACCTGTAATAATATATACGGAGCCCTGACCTGTAATAATATATACGGAGCCCTGACCTGTAATAATAATAATAATATATACTGAGCCCTGACCTGTAATAATAATATAATATATACTGAGCCCTGACCTGTAATAATAATAATAATAATAATATAATATATACTGAGCCCTGACCTGTAATAATAATAATAATATAATATACTGAGCTCTGACCTAATAATATACTGAGCCCTGACCAGTAGTAGTAGTAGTAGTAATAATAATATACTGAGCCCTGACTTGTAGTAATAATAATAATAATAATACACTGAGCCCTGACCTGTAATAATAATAATATACTGAGCCCTGACCTGTAATAATAATATAATATACTGAGCTCTGACCTGTAGTAATAATATATATACTGAGCCCTGACTTGTAATAATAATAATATACTGAGCCCTGACCTATAATAATAATAATAATAATAAAATATATACTGAGCCCTGACCTGTAATAATAATAATAATAATATACTGAGTTCTGATCTGTAATAATAATATATATACCGAGCCCTGACCTGTAATAACAATAATAATACTAATATACTGAGCCCTGACCTGTAATAATAACAATAATAATACTAATATACTGAGCCCTGACCTGTAATAATATAATAATATTATACTGAGCTCTGACCTGTAGTAGTAGTAGTAATAATAATAATAATATAATACTGAGCTCTGACCTGTAATAATATATATACTGAGCCCTGATCTGTAATAATAATATACTGAGCCCTGACCTGTAGTAGTAGTAGTAGTAGTAGTAGTAATAATAATAATATACTGAGCTCTGACCTGTAATAATAATAATATACTGAGCTCTGACCTGTAATAATAATAATAATAATATACTGAGCCCTGACCTGTAATAATAATATACTGAGCTCTGACCTGTAATAATAATAATATTATTATACTGAGCCCTGACCTGTAATAATAATAATAATATAATAATATACTGATCTCTGACCTGTAATAATAATATATATATATACTGAGCCTTGACCTGTAATAATATAATAATATACTGAGCTCTGACCTATAACAATAATAATAATAATAATATATATGTAATAATATAATATACACTGAGCTCTGACCTGTAATAACCTATGTTATAATACACTGAGCCCTCATCTGTATGTGAACATCACAGGGTAATGGCGGCTCCTATTACCTGGTCGATATGTCGTACAATACCACCAGTATGTCCACTTCCCAAACTCTAGTAGAGTGCAGCGCTCTATAAATATTAAATGAACTACACTTACCCCTCAATATTGGTTGAGGTTAGTTGAGGGGTAAGTGTTGTTTATTTAATACTTAGAGCGCTGCACTCTGAGAGTTTGGGAAGTGGACACACCACCCAAACACAAAGTTATTTTTCTGGAGGTTTTATAGTGGGATTTTGAACTATAGAGTGTGTTAAGCAGCTTCACCGAAATAAACACTATTTATAGAAGCGCCATCTTTCCACATTTGCTGTTTGTTGATGTGTCATATGTCTACACACTGAGCCCTAAAAACCGTTACTGATCTATAGATATATCATTTAATAAATCCACTGAGCTGTATTATCTGTACACACATGCACACTACATTGTTAAACACAGGTCTGCCCACCAGTCAAGCCATAGGACCTGCTTTTCCCACACAAATCTCAAATTTTATGTGGTGATGAGATGCAAAGCGAGTGAACCACTCATGGAGATAGATAGATTTATTTATTTTACAGATACCGTTGTGCTCAAAAAAAAAAGTTTGCATACCCTGGCAATTGTGGCATTGATTTTGAAAATATGACTAAACATGAAAAAAACAAGTATTTTATTAAAGCATAGTGGTCATTTATTATTACATAGTTGTTTGGCTCCTTTAAATATCATAATGATAACAGAAATCGCCCAAATGACCCTGATCAAACGTTTACATACCCTTGAATGTTTGGTCTTGTTATAGACACACAAGGTAACACACACAGGTTAAAATGGCAGTTACAAGTAAATTTCCCACACCTGTGGCTTTTTATTATTATTGCTATTTATATAGCGCCAACATATTACGTAGCGCTTTACAATATTACGAGAGGGGGGGGATTTAACTATAAATACTAGAATTACAAGAAAACTTACAGGAACGATAGGTTGAAGAGGACCCTGCTCAAATGAGCTTACATTCTATAGGAGGTGGGGTATAAAACACATTAGAACGGGAAATAGCAATCAAAGAAGGTGGGAGTCAACCAGAGCTGAAGGAGAGCGTAAAGTGCTGCCCCTTTACGAGAGAGCAAGAGACAGGTATGTAAGGTAGAGGTTACTCTGGGAGGCCATAAGCTTTACTAAAGAGATGGGTTTTAAGGCAATTCTTAAACGATTGAAGACTAGGGGAGAGTCTGATGGCGGTAGGCAGGCTACTCCATAGGAAGGGAGCTGCCCGCAATAAGTCCTGCAAGCGTGAGTTGGCCGTACGGGTGTAAACAATGAACAGGAGAAGGTCACGGGCAGAGCGGAGAGACCGAGAAGGGGCATACCTATGGATCTGTGAGGAGATATGAGGAGCTAGAATTGTTCAGTGCTTTATAGGTATGGGTTAGCACTTTGAATTGACTCCTATAGGATACAGTAAGCCAATGTAAGGACTGACAGAGGGGTGAGGTGTGAGAGGACCGACTAGAGAGGAAAATCAGTCTGGCGGCGGCATTCATTACAGACTGTAGCAGGGCAATATGGCTTTTGTGAAGAACAATTAGGCGAGGTTTACAATTTTAAATTGCAATTAGCTTGTTAGCTCTCTCATGGATGCACTGAGCAGGCTAGATACTGAGTCATGGGGAGCAGAAAAGCACTGTCAAAACACTTGCATAACAAGGTAATGTAAACCTCCTTGTGACGGTCACTCAGATGGCCTCTAGAAATGCTTCCCTGGTCACTTATTTCACCTACATTAATGCAACTCATAGGGATGCATTGATTTAATTAGGGAATGCTGGAGCGGATTAGCTTTCCCTGGGGTCTAGTGGGACTGCTGTCATCTCTCTGCTCTGTTCCCTAGTGCGCTGTTTTAGTGATGAGGGGCTGGAAGTATATCATATTCCGTCTTCTGGCATCACTGGAGGACGCGAGGGAGTAGAGCAGGCAGATAACAGCTTTCTACTTTGCCGCGGCCTGCCTCCCTCATTCCGCCGCCTGCTGCTAGCCTCCTTCATTCCGCGGTCTGCCTCCCTCAGCTCTCAATGAGCCAACAGTCCGTCTGCTTGCCCGCCTCAGCCCTGCTTGAACCGACTGCCCCCATCAAATCTTGGGCAGCCGGCCACCTCGGGCTGTACAGGCTCTCAAATCCCAGAGCCGTGCCCTGTAAATACCCTAATGTTTTCCAGTCCTGTAGGAGTATTACTGTTGCTTGGGCATATAAAGCACACACAACTCCCACCAGCTCTGTGTTTTGGGGAATATGTAGAGTTCTTGCTCTCGCTGAGGAGCACCAGATAGTTTATTATTGATACCATTGGTTCCCAAACCAGTCATCAAGGCTCTCATAACAGTCCAGGTTTAGGTGTTTTTAGAAAGAAAACAAGAAAACATTTTAGGCATGACTGGTTAATCCCTAAATCTGGACTGGTTTGGGAACCATTGATTTATTCGAACAGTTCTCAAGGAAACCCAATGCTTTAGTTTGTATTTTGCTTTTGTCTTACTATGGTGGTATCCTCAAAATCTGTCCTATCTTTGGTCGTCACATCTTATCTAAAGAATCAGAGCTCTAGGATGAGTATATTCAGATGCAGGACTAGCCCCATCTCACGTCCCTTTCATATCAGCACCTGACTGGCCATGGATATTGTGTGTGTGCACTTTGCTCAGGTGTGATTTGGCTCCCAGCTCCCCTGCCTGCTTCCTGATTCATAGCTCCCTTGTATACGAGGTGTCTGGCTCAGCTAACCTAGGTACGTGTAGCTTTTCTTTGCTCCAGTGTCTTACGTGCTGCCTTACTCAGGCCTGTGCTTTGGGCTTTACATATGAATAATGTAACTCTATGCAACACTGTGAGTCTATTGGTTATATTTTGCTTTACGTTCAATGTGAAGAAATCTGCCAGAAGCCAACCCCCATGACTAACATTACAACAAATGTATTTCCAGATACAGAGTGACAGGAATTTGTCAAATTTTTTGAAAAAATGTGCACTCATTATACAGCAATATACAGATCACTGGTAGGAATGGGTAGAACAATGTGTCACCTTTGTGGCCCTTTTCTGCTTTATTTCTGGAAACTGCCGAAACAACTCTAGTCAAGTTCCTCTGTATAAATTTGTGATGGTTTACATTTTGGTACAAACATTCACCAATTCCTACCAGCAGCTGTCTTGGATTAAAATATCTGCAGTTGGCGTCCTGCAACACGCCATGTGGAATATGCAGACTCTTAGCATCCTACAATCATTGGCACCAGGGAGCAATATGAGAACTTTAGGAAGGCTATGTACCCCTCCTGATGAGGCTGGGTGCAGTGTCTGCCACAAGTGGGCTATGCTACTGGCATGACAGAAAACACCTGGGACAGGGTTATTTACCAAAGTGAGACCTATTGGAAATTCAGTGAGAATTCAAAGTGGATTTCAAATTTATACCAGAATTGCTGAATTGAAAGCATGGTTCACTTTTTAAAAAAAATGTTTTTAAATTTCTTAAATTAGCAATTAATTTTGAATTCCTGACAATTCTCACCTTAGTAAATAACCCTGAGAGTGATTAACAGGAAAAAGTAGAACATTTAAAATATATTCATGAGAACGATTTTAGCATGGAGTGAAAATGATTTAATTCCTCAGTCATTACTCCAACTTGTGTGTATTACTTGTTACGGGATGCCCAGAGATTATACTATGCATGATATGGGTGAATTTTTTTTTTTTTACGTTTTAGGTGGCGGGGGTTTAACTTGGTTTCCTACAGATTTTTCTAAGATTCCTTTGCAAGGAAATAAAACAATATTGCATGATTAGATAATTTCCTGGGAGTTTTTTGTAGAGTAAGAATGGTATGTGGTGTCTCCGGTCTCTTTAATCCATTATCTGCCAGAAATGTAGATTAACATTAAACCTTTTATGAGAAGATATTTTTAGTTCCTATGAATGAACCATAGGCCAAGTTAATTATAAATAATAGTAACTTTTGTAGTACTTGAGAGCTTTTAAAGTACTTTAGAGAGACAATTTAATACATCACTGCGATCATTACTGAGCTGTTTTAAATGGATCTCATGTTAATGTACTGTGGAGGGATGATGGTACAGCATGCGTTAAGTGGAGCCATTGATTTAAAACCAGGGAACTTACTCCTGCGTTAAAGGTTTCTGTCTGCAATATAACTGCAGAGGTAGCGTTCTCTTAGGAGGCATCACGTTTTTGTGTAAACATTTGTGAATTTGGCGTATTCTGCGATAGCCGAAATATAACAGGACATGTTTGGTTTCTATATTATTATTATTATTATTATTTATTATTTAATATTTTCTTAACCCCTTAAGGACTGGACTGTTTTTGCGATGTTGTACATTTGCGACCAGGCATATTTTTACACTTTTGTGGTGTTTGTGTTTGGCTGTAATTTTCCGCTTTCTCATTTACTGTTCCCATACAAATTATATATTGTTTTTTCAGGACAAAAGGGGCTTTCTTTACATACCATTATTTATATAATCTCATGTATTTTAATTTTAAAAAAATACAAAAATCTGATGAAAAATTGAAAAAAATACATGTTTTTTGACTTTTACTTGAAAAATCTTTTACTCATCTACAAAAGCGAATGAAAAAAACTGCTAAATAGATTCCAAATTTTGTCCTGAGTTTAAAAATACCCAGTGTTTACGTGCTTTTTTGCTTTTTTTTGCATGTTATAGGGCTATAGGTACAAGTAGGATATTGCAGTTTCAAAACATACATTTTTAAAATTTATCAATAGTGACATTGTAACACTATTATCTGTCATAAATCTCTGAATAACACCCCACATGTACATATTTTTTTTAAAGTAGACAACCCAGGGTATTCAATATGGGGTATGTCCAGTCTTTTTTAGTAGCCACTTAGTCGAAAACACTGGCCAAAGTAAGCATTCATATTTGTTTGTGTGTGAAAAAAGTAAAAAAACTAAATTGAACGCTAATTTTGGCCAGTGTTTGTGACCAAGTGGTTACTAAAAAAGACTGGACATACCCCATTTGCAATACCTTGGGTTGTCTTCTTTTGCAAATGGTATGCCATCATGGGGGTAATTCTCATTCCTGGGCTACCATACGCTCTCAAAGGCAACGTAACCAACCTGGCCATTTTCAATGTAAAAATATTTGACCCATATATTTGACCTTGTAACTTTCAAAAATGCTATAAAACCTGTACATGGGGGGTACTGTTTTACTCGGGAGACATCGCTGAACACAAATATTAGTGTTTAAAAACTGGAAAACGTATCACAACAATTATATCATCAGTAAAACTGCTGTTTGTGTGTGAAAAATGCAAAAAAAGTAACTTTCACTGACAATATCATCACTGTGATATGTTTTACTGTTTTGAATCACTAATATTTGTGTTCAGCGAAGTCTCCCGAGTAAAACAGTACCCCCCATGTACAGGTTTTAGGGTGTCGTAGAACGTTACAGGGTAAAATACAGTGCTAGCAAATTAAATTCTCTGGAATTTCGGCCTGGGTTGGCAGGCAGGTCCCTCAAATTGCAATCAATAAAATTACTGAATTATGTAAAAATATTACATAAATACGCACGTAGAATTTAAATATATATGCATATTTATATATTTGAAGTCTACGTGTATATTTATATAATTATTTATGTAATTTTGTATATGGACGTATGTATATTTCTTATTATTTTTATTTATTTTTATATACATAGATATATATACAAATTCATTCTAAGTGTATTTTGATATAAATATATGTATATTAATTTTAAAATACAGTTAGAATAAAATTTCATATAGCTATATAATTTTTTTTAAATTTTTTATTATTTAAAAAAAATATATTTAATTTAAATTACTTATTATTTATATTTTATAATATATATATACAATATATATAGTTATTATATATATTATATATATACGTGTGTAATTTAATTATAAGTGTATTTTTATATTAATATAAGTACATATTAATATAAAAATACACTTAGTATGACATTATATATATATATATATATATATATATATATATATGATATATAGACATATATTATATAGGTATAATATATGTCTATATATCATATATACACATAATTATTTTTATTTTTTTTATTAACACTAACTTTAATTTATTTTTTGATTTTACACATGCAGGGAGACTGCCTGTCAGCACAGACAGTCCCCCTGCAGGCAGCACTATGGACACCTATTGTGACCATGTGATCGCTGTGTTAAGCGATCACATGGCCACAGGGGTTCCTAAATCAGTGTGGGGAGACTGTCTGGGCTGCAGGCAGTCTCCCCACAACCGGAGCCACGCTGATCGCCGCCGGGGGAACGACGGCGATCAGGTAAGTAGCTCTGACCGTTAGGACGGTTCAGGACCGTCATCGGTCGGCAACGCAAAAATGCCGATGACGGTCCTGAACCGTCCTCGGTCCTTAAGGGTTTAATATATATTCTAAGCATACCTGTTTCTTTTTTCTTTTCTGTGAATAACTCTTACTTTCAATCAAGATCTAAATCATTTAACCCCTTAAAGGACCACTATAGTGCCAGGAAAACATACTCGTTTTCCTGGCACTATAGTGCCCTGAGGGTGCCCCCACCCTCAGGGTCCCCCTCCCGCCGGGCTCAAGGGGGTGGAAGGGGTTAAACACTCACCTTTCTCCAACGCCGGGCGGGGAGCTCTCCTCCTCCTCTTCGCCTCCTCTCCTCCTCTTCTGCTGAATGCACATGCGCGGCAGAAGCTGAGCGCGCATTCAGCCAGTCTCATAGGAAAGCATTCATATCATATGGACGCTGGCGTCTTCTCACTGTGATTTTCACAGTGAGAAGCACGCAAACGCCTCTAGCGGCTGTCAATGAGACAGCCACTAGAGGCTTTAGAGGCTGGATTAACGCATTTATAAACACATTCCGTCATGTGTCTTTAAGGGGTTAATTGACTTGTTGCACATTCTTGCAAAGCTATTCGTTATTTGAAAAGGGGAAATAAAACCTCTTGGGTGGTGATTTATATTCTTTTTTTTACTAATGAAAACCATTGTGCAATGTCTTGTGTTTTATTTTTTTAATTTTTTTTATTTATTTGGTTTTTTTGATTGCCTATTAACATAGCCATACGTTACTTGCCACTACATGCATCATTTTGTTTCTATTATATTGTTCCTGCGGCATTTCAGCTGTGAATACAAGGCTGTTTTGCAGGTAGACTCCCATCTAGGGAAAAGCTGAGAAAGCATTCTAAGACTTTTAGTTTTACAACAGCTGGAGGTCAGCTTTTTGGACACCCCATTGGCAGCATGGCGTGACTCCTCATAAAAGTTGTGTTTAACTATTGACTGCATATTATTACTCCTTATAAAACTGTGTGATGATTGGCTGTGTCACATGTATCCTTATTAAAGGGACACTCAAAACACATAGAACTTCAGATTGTGGAAGGACTTTGTGTCTGGAGTACCTCCCCCCCCTCCCCTTTCTCTTTAATGGAAAGTACCAGTGTTAATGTGTCTAAGCCTTTATTGATACTTTATGTATCTTCAGCAGGGTTTGTCATGTAGATGGTGAGAATGTCATGTGATATGGTTACATTTGGCTAAGCATCATGGGAAATATAAAAAAAAAAAAAAAGAATTGGAGGATGCAAAAAACAAAAATATAGTTCTAAAATATCTGGTTTGCCAGGCCCATCAACTGTCATGGGGGATGGGATAAAATGTCTCTTGCCGTGCTAGATCTGTGAACTGTTGTGTCAAGTATTCCATATACATATACACACATAGACCATCCCCTTCTCCTAGTTTAAAGGCATCCCGTCCCCACTTCACAAGTCCTGTTTTAGGGTCTCAACAGCATTCCAGTCCTGAGGAACACATCGCTGGTTGAGCATTTGTGGTTTATAGTTAATCTTTTTTTGTGGATTGTGCAGAATATGGCATTTACCTGCATCCTTTAGGCAGAGGAAAGGCACAATTTGTGTGTATTACTGCATCTCTTCCTTTCCAGCAATCTAGAGTTATTGTCACACAGTCCTAAAAATTAATCATGCTTGTGCCATGTTAGAAATGATATGTAGGCGTGTGAAGGACGGAGAAAAATGAGTTCTCTGGCAGTAAAGCATAGTGAAATTAAAAGATTTGAGAATGCATTCTGCTTGGATGTCAGTCATATAACAAACCATGTACCGTCATCCAGCCGAGCCTGGGGACTCTGTTCTATCCAGGGACTAAAAGTATCCTTTTAGCTTTCACTACATAGCTGGTCGTGTGTAGGAATGATTACAAGCCATCATTTCCCTCAAGCTAACTGGATATATTTGTAATATAAGTTAACAAAGGCATGTTATAGTAATGATTTACATAACCCTCTGTTATTGCTGCTGCTTCCCAAGCCGTGAAGATGTTGAGCTGCGATGACTGTCTGATTCCATGCTTGATATTTTTTGCTCTTGCTGTGAATTCATATCAACTGGCACTGTTTTCCTTTTTTTTTTTTTTTATATATATATAAGATCCACGCTGCCAAGAAATTTTCAAAATGATGTTTCCCTCTGTGTGTCTGCTGGGATAGTTGCTAGAGAGATGAAAGTTTTCATTCACATTGTAATAAAGGTAGTGCAATACGTGAATCGGTTAGTCGTTTTTGTTTCTTAAAATTTACGTGTTGTTGTCACTTCTCATTTTGTAGGTAATTAAAAACCACATATGTATTGTTAAAAGTAAGTCCGATTATATTGCAACTCTTTCGTTATTAGACACCAAAGGTTGTTTCAGAATGACTTTTATACCCAAATAATTTGCATTAAAAAAAATCTCCTGAAAATTGACGAAACCTTAATCTTTGACGTCTTAATAAATACAATAATAAGTAAAGATGTGCATTTCACACCACCTGTACACACTAATCATTTACAAAATGCTGAGACACGGGACTATGACAGATCACTTTATATTAATGTTGGAAAAGCAAAACCTTTATAGATCTATTAGCTTCTGGGTGCAAACCAGGTCTCCATAAAATGCTTAGACAAGAAGTTTTAAAAGTGTATTAAACTGGCTAAGGGCAGAATGATGAATTAAAGAAATAGTTGGAATCTGAAATTGGGATGTGACATTTCGTGTGAGACCTTTTTGGGAAAATAATAAGTAAAGCACACCGAGTCACGTCTCATTCTGTGGAAAAATAAGGCAGCGATTCCTTGCTAGATTTCAAACCCATTATCCCAGTCCATGATGGATGGAAAAAGCCATGGATGCTTTGTTGGCATATACAAGGTCTCTCCAGAAAGTATCCAGCCATGTAATAAGAAAAATTGAGACATTTAGGATACAAGATACAAAAAACATTATACATCGGACAATAACGCTTCAGTCTCCTTCAAAGTAGGCACCTTTGGACCTCACACAGTTCTCCCGGCATCTCTTCCACTATTCAAAACACTCTGCAAAATCTTTTGTTGGAATCACCATCAGCTCCCTCGTCGTATTAACCTGAATCTCAATGACTGTCTGAGATCCCTTCCCTTTCAAAGGTGATTTTCGTTTTATAAAAGACATGAGTTTCAGAGTACAAAATCTGTGGCTGGGGGGGGGACTGACTCACCTGGGAGATATTATTTGTGCTGAGCTTATTGCATTGCACCCGAAAGCCTTCTAAATCATCTGAATAGTTTCCACCGAGGGAATGTTCAAGCTTAACACAAAATTTGATGCAGATTTGTTGCTCTACTAGCTCTGTCATTGTGCATATGCTCATCCAGCGGAGTCTAGCGCCCCCACTGACTAGTACAGTGAAGTCGTAATTGTTCATGCATGCGCATTTCAGTCCACTCTCCTTGGTGGCCAGGTTACTTCAATGTCGTGCAAACTGTTCTTGTTATATTAAGTGGTTGAATACTTTCTGTACATACCTTGTATCAACCATTTATTCCAACACACCCTGACATGACAGCCCCTTTATTAGTGTAACAAGTGCTGAAATGATAGTCCCATTCCCCCCCTCCCCCCAAAAGTCACCCTATGAGTATCACATTTATAGGTATACGTTTCTCTAAAAATGATGAGTAGCTAGAGGAGTATTTGTTGATAACGTTTATTATAATGTATCCTCTTATCTCTCCATATTAAATAGAATCCAGTGTTCTGTCAGGCCATCTCGCAGCACTGTGGATGTTGGAGAAAGTTTGTTTTTTATGATTGTCAGAAACGGCAGCATCATTATATTCAGCCTCATTTAAAATAAATCATCATCTGGCTGCATGGCTCAGTAGTTTTCTTCCCTCCTGTACAAGTAATGAATCAGCAAGGCAGGTACAAGTGGCACAGTCTGCGTGGGAAGCACAAGCGGCGATTGGCTCTTCTGAGCTTGTCTGTTACGGATTTTTCTGCTTTGTTTTGAGCTGTGAATGTCTAATACACAGAGCGGCGAATCTCACAGTTTTGTGATTGCTTTCCAAGTTAGACATTTAGTGATATGTGATAAAATGAAACCATCAATTAAATGTCATTGAATTCCACGTCTTTATTGTTTGTACCGTATATATCCATCTACTTACGCATGTGGATTTGGGTATTTCATATGTAAAGCAGAAAGTAATCTCTATAGACCGAAACTAAACAGGCTCAGTGACTGTCAGCACTGGTATGGGATGTCATGGGATGTTATTTAATTCCTGCTGGAGCTGCTATGGTCAAATGTAATGTCTGTTATTTTGAAGCAGAAACATTAAGGAGGAACAACAGCTTAGCCTTCAAATGATCGGAGTGTGAGAGTATGTAAAGCACAAAAAACAAAACAAAAAAAAATCCCTCCTAGTTTGCAACTGCATCCCCTTTTCCAATGTATAAATAGAGGCTGTGGCGAAACCAACCTCGCCACGAAGCATTGGAGAAGCCTGGTTGCTCGCCTGTTGCCCTTGGACTATGGCCCCATGTTAAAAAGCCTTCTTTTCCCCTGCAGAAAAGGCTTGTTCGTGCCTTTCTGCCCGGCGTTCGGTAGATTCAATCTACCGAACAAACAACCCAATGACTGGACCACCTGTATTGGGAGTGTGTCGGCAATTTACCTCCCAGAAGCTGCGGTTAACCGCTGCTTAATTGACGAATGCTTGGTGACCTTTGTTCGTTTGCCAAACACGTGGCGGCGGCCATTTTAAAGTCCCGAACGGCCAGCGGTGTTCAGCGCCCAAACTATGGAACTGGAAACGGACACTTATTTGCGCGAACACTGCTGAGCCGTCAGCGTCCTTGCGTCTGCATTCGGTCATTTAACCGGATGCCTGTTCATTCGGTAGTTTAACCGTATGAACAGCATTACCTCAGATAGCCATGCCATGGAGCCTATTCGTGTAACAAAAGACTTTGGCTCCATCGCGATTGAACTGTATGTATGTGATCTGAGCGCCATCCGGTAATAATGTGCGCTCAGATCTAAGCTATCTGGGGATAGGTAGAATGTATATGTTTTGTGCAACAGTTGTAACTTTATACATTTTTATGTCGCTTACTGTCATGTGGTTAATGGAGTTTTGCCTCTGTCCTGGGAGATAATTGGATTACTTCCCAATTATCTCCAGGACAGAGGGAGGGAAATTAGGATGCATTGTGGGGATGTTTTACCTCTGTGTGTCTGTCATTAGTTCATGTCTGTCCTTTGTCAGTCTCCCATTTGGTCCCCTAGGGGAGTGTCCACCAGCTGGGAGACCTGCATAAATACTGGGCAGGTAGCTTTCAATAAACCATACCACTGCTTGACCCTCAACACTGAGCTCTGTATCGTCTTTGGGGGGATTTACTGTATGCTGTTAGAGACTGATTGCCAGGAGTGTAAGCCGCTTGGGTGCTTTTCCTGTTTGTCTGCTAGCAGCTATTTGTGAGGTTCCAGTTCGGGAGTTTGGAGTGCTACTTTGTATGCAGTTCGGGAGTTTGAAGCATTCCCTCGTATGCAGTTCGGGAGTTTGAAGCATTTCCTTGTATGCAGTTCGGGAGGTTGGAGCATTCCCTTGTATTCAGTTCTAGAGTTTGGGATTCTGCAGTAGCTGTGCCTGTGTCTCTGGAAGGGTAGATCTACTAAAAGGCGGTTTAACCCTTTTATGCCTGGGGGTGCCGTTAAAGAGGCTTCTGTATAAAATGTCAGATATCTGCAACTCAATCCTGCTCATCCCTACTACTATAGAACAAACTACAAACACAATGTGCTCAAAGTGTGCATTGATATGTTGACACTATTCAAAAATAAAAAATCAGTCTTAATGTTGCAGAATATAGTGTGATTAAATTTACAGCCACACAATTATATTTATAAAGGGAAATGTTCCAATAATACATAGGAAATAGCTGCATGTCAAACACATATCTTCATCTGCGATGTCCCAACACTTGAGATGGCAATTTTACTATAAGTGGTGCAAATACAGGGTTTATTTTCGGCAACGTGATCCAGTTTCCCATTATTTCTGTCCTACTGATTATTTGTTGCCATTAACACGTTCAGGGTGTTAAACTGATGCAAATAAAAGCCATCGAGGCGTACGGTTAAGAATCACAGACTGTCTGTTTTAGTCCCAGCTCAATTGAAATGCAGGGCTGAAGAGATCCGTAGAAAGTCCGATTTGCTCTCTGGAAATATCTGAGAACATTGCAAGTGTGGCTGTTTTTTGCCTGAACCAATCAACATCAAACAAGTGATTAAATGCGGCAGATGGGGCACTTCTGCTCCTCCTAAAAAGGCCTCTTGTGAAGGAACATAACTAAGGTTTCTCTGTGAATATTGTTATGATGGAGTTTTTCCTGTGCTCAGACCATATTCAATGTTTCAGCATAGGCTGTTCTGAGCATATGTCACACTAAAAATAGCCATAGCAACAGAAAATAAAGCGTACATCATATGACAATCGCGTCATGAGTGTAATCATCAGAAATACAACATATGAGATGTAAAAGTCACAGTCTAAATTTATACAAATTGAGATAACAGTTGGCTTCAAGTAATATGCTGCAATTTAAAGGCTCCGTCTAAGCACCAAAAACACTTCAGCTTAAATGACATAAAGCATTGCTTTTCGTTTGAAACAAGCTCTAGAGCTGGCATTTTTATTTTTTTTTGTTCTCCAAAGGGCATATATTTAAAGCTTCATAGAATCGGAGCTCTGCATGAAGAAGATAGGGGTATTACAGTAACACTGTGCATGTCACCAGTGACTGGCGGTCATGCCCCCTTAAGAGTTGCCCATGTGCAGAGTGCTTCTGAATTGCCCCTGTGGACAGAATAAATTGAGTTTATTGAATGTTTGGAAATTTGCTCATAATGAGCTTGTTGGAGACCTTTTTCTTTTGTCCCCAGAGGCAGGACATGAAGAACAGGGGCCCAAATTGTAAACTGAACGATTGAGGACTGTTGGTAGTATGACTCTGGGGTTTACAAAGGCACCATCTACGTAACAATGGCATTCTTTATTGTGTTTCAGTATTGGATGTGTTTGATTGTTTGACAATACGTCCACTCATAGCATTTTCTAACATAATCCTAGTATAGAGTTTGGGAAATAAATGTAATATTTAAGGAATTCTTTTATTTTTATTTTCATGTAGATTATTATTTTGGACTGCAGATCCTACTCTTAAAGTGGTATTACTCCAAAGGCAAATATTTTTTGCAAAATTACTCTAGTTTCCCATTAAAATCAATTTGGGCTGGAATAGGCTCGTTAGGTCGATTTGAATAGCAGCTGAGGATACATTCTGTTTGGTCTGTCTGTATTCATCCAACACTTCCTTTTCACTAGAGTTCATGTGTGATTACTCGATGAGAGTAGCTTTGTAAATCATTCTACAGCAGTAGTTCCCAACACAGTCCTCAAGTACCCCCTAACAGGCCAGGATTTGGGGATTACCCAGTTGTTTCTAAGTTGTTTTAATAAAAAAAAAAAACACTTTAGACACAACAGGGTAATCCCTAAATCCTGGACTGGTAGAGGGGGAACTTGACGACTGGGTTGGGAACCCGTGTTCTACAGTAACAACCAATGTTTTCCAAACATGTTCTGTGCTTTCTTTCAGCCATGTTTCCAAGAAACTGTACTGTGTATGCGGACAGAGACGTGGCGGACAGATGAGATCTCTGTATTGATAACTTCCGTCAGTAAGTGATCATTGTCCGGGACCTCTAACCAAAACACATGATGGACCAGCACAAGGATGAAAATCCACACGTTTGGCCCACGACCGAGGAACACCAGGCTAATGCTGCTCAGGTGAGGCAATGCTATGTTATAATGTTGCACAAATTATCCATATATTGTGGCTATAGGCAGCTTTCTGGATATTTTAATAATGTTTCCAAATCCTCATTCTCTCACACAGTGTTTATTTTTACTTTGATTATCAGTATGAAACAACGTAGGAGCAGGGCCGTCTGTGTGTGTAGGTTTCCAAAATGTGGCTTTGTCAATGTACGATTTCATTTTGTTTCTATGCATATATTTTACGGCAGGTGCATTTTGTTCCTGATGGAGGTGCTGTGGCACAGATCGTGTACAGTGATGATCAGGATCGACCACCACAGCAAGTGGTTTACACTGCAGATGCATCATCATTCACATCTGTGGATGCGTCCGAACATACCTTGGTATATATTCACCCAGTGGATGGCTCCCAGGTAAGTGGATCAGAAAGCTTATCATACAGGGTCATCTACAGCCTAGATTTTTGACAAGCTTTTTATTTAGGATGGGAGTTGAAGAGTAGATGGGATCTGTAAACGTCTCTTAATCGTTTGTTTAAAGACCAGCTGCTATGGTCGGGCAAATCTATATTGCATTTATATATAGACAGAATATGTGCAAGGTGAATTAATTTGCTGTAAATAAGTATATATGTATAGAGAGAGAACTGTATTCAATATTGGAAGGCTTAATTTGTACCTGTGTGCTGTCTGCATAGCCATAGCCATCAAGTTGCATAGCCAACTTGATCCGTGTCTGCAAGTTGAGAACCTGTTTCCCCCAGTGCTAACTGCTCTGTCACAGAATGCTGTGTGTGTGTGTGTGTGTGTGTGTGTAACTCACTAAACAAACCTAAACACAAATGTCAAGAAAGTATAAGATTTATATATCTCCTGGTGATTTCACTAGCATAATATATAGACTGCATTATAATTGTTAACCTGAACCAGACATTATCTGGACAATATATACCTTTATACGAGGCCTTTATGTTGCTTTATAATGGACCCTTCCACTTAAAAACTGCCACTTTATTTTAACAGTTCACTTTATGTAGAGTTTGTTTTTAAATGTTTTTATCTTAAATTTCTTTTTCTTTTCAAGACACTCTTTACTGACCAGCCGCAGGTGGCCTATGTTCAGCAGGACGCTACCACACAGCAGGTAACACACATGACATAGAAACCTAAATATGACTTCAACAAAGGTGCAGTATTATATAGAAACTAATTAATTCCATTTGCAATTATAATGCACTTTTTTCTGTGCTGTTACTTAATTGCAATTTAAAAAAAAAAAATTACCTTCTTATCTTTCTGGGTTGTGCTATTGGTTAACCGGGGCTGCCATCCGTATGAGGTCACACCTTACTTTGTCACCTGTATTATAATTAAGGATGTGTTTAGCCATATCCAGGTTGTAGGGTCTGCATGACTTTAATAAAATCAACTGAGAAGATATTAAAGTAATGCAAGAAAATGTTCGTTCTGGTGTCCGAGAAGCATATCACTCTTTCGCTTATTGTCCTCAGATTTTAATTTCTAAACATGCCACGTAGAATGTGCACTCAATACAGTCCCTATGACAGTAAATGTTATGTAGAATGTGCACTTAAAGGACCACTCTAGGCACCCAGACCACTTCAGCTTAATGAAGTGGTCTGGGTGCCAGGTCCTTCTAGGGTTAACCCATTTTTTTTATAAACATAGCAGTTTGAGAGAAACTGCTATGTTTATGAATGGGTTAAGCCTTCCCCCTATTTCCTCTAGTGGCTGTCTCATTGACAGCCACTAGAAGCTCTTGCGTGCTTCTCACTGTGATTTTCACAGTGAGAGCACGCAAGCGTCCATAGGAAAGCATTGTAAATGCTTTCCTATGCGACGGGCTGAATGCGCGCAGCTCTTGCCGCGCGTGCGCATTCAGCCCAGGAGGAGGATCAGAGGAGGAGAGAAGGAGGAGAGCTCTCCGCCCAGCGCTGGAAAAAGGTAAGTTTTAACCCCTTTCCCCCTTCCAGAGCCGGGCGGGAGGGGGTCCCTGAGGGTGGGGGCACCCTCAGGGCACTATAGTGCCAGGAAAACGAGTATGTTTTCCTGGCACTATAGTGGTCCTTTAATGCAGTCCCTATGGCAGTATGTTTGGCGTTGCTGCCATCAGTGCTTGTGGAGAAGTTTTAAGCTATGGTGCTATGGGTTTTCTGTCAACCATGCACATGAACAAAAATGGTTTAATCTAGTAGCAATGAAAACATTTACTGCTGAATGTTTTAACAGAAAAATGAGAATGTTTTAATAAATTTCTGATTCCCGAATTGTAACATCACGCTTATGCTGTTGGTTTGCAGGTGACTGTTCTGTTGCCTGCTTCGCAGAGCATGAATACTGCCAATTTAGCTGTCCTTAGTGGAGTCCCAGAGTCTGCGCAGACAATGTCACTGGAGCCAGTATCACAAGTGGACAGAGTACGCAGAACTTCGTAATCCCTTCTGTGTTGTTGATGTTTTTGGAGGGGGAGGAGATCTTTCTTTCTTGAAATGCTTGGTTCTTACAGTACTTTGATGTAATTTTGATTATTATTTCAGTAGAGATTTCTGTTTTTCCTTTTTAACGATATCATTTAAAAAAAAAAAAAATGCATTATACTCACTACCTGGCATCGGGGATGTTTCTCCCTTAAGTGTAGCTCATGCATGTTAAGAATAATGATTTGACGGGGAATCTATTTATTATTGCATTTTTCAGTGATTTATCTGTGTTTAGAGAAGAAAAGGGGATGCAGACATGTGTGGCTTCCTTGCTGCAGATACGTTGTTGTTTCAATCCTCCCTGTTTAAACTTCTTATTTTTAATTTATTTTTCATCTTTATTAAGAAACCTGCATGTGTACCAAGGCCATAACCCTTGGCAGCGCTATGTAGCCGAAGCTGGTACAACATTTTCAGCTCTAATGGAGTACATATTTCAATTATTCATGGACTGTATAACCCCAAACCTTGCATTATGAATATTTTTTTCAAGCAGAAGCACATTTTTTTTTTTTTTCCCTACCAACCCATGCTGTATTGGCACACATTAATAAAATGTGTTGGGTCAGACGCTCCTTTAACCCCATAAGGACTGCGAACGTACTAGGTACGACTGACAAAAAACGGTCCTTAGGGGCCGTGGATGTACCTAGTACGTCCGCTGGAAGCGATCGGGATAACTTCCAGCTGCTCAAAGGGTATTGCAGCGATGCCTCGATGTCAAGGCTGAAAGTCCAAAGAATTTAATTTGCTAGTACTGTATTTAACCCTGTAATGTTCCTTAAAACCTGTACATGGGGGGTACTGTTTTACTTGGGAGACTTCGCTGAACACAAATATTAGTGTTTTTAAAACAGGAGAACATATCACAGCGTCATAAAGTGAAGTTTTTTGCATTTTTCATACACAAACGGCACTTTCACTGATGATATCATTGTTGTGATAAGTTTTAGTGTTTTGAATCACTAATATTTGTGTTTAGCAAAGTCTCCAGAGTAGAACAGTACCCCCCATATACTGGTTTTATAGTGTTTTTGAAAGTTACAGGGTCAAATATAAGGCTTGATTTTCTGTTTTTTATCATTGAAATTTGCCAGATTGGTTATCTTGCCTTTGAGAGCATATGGTAGCTCAGGAATGAGAACTAACCCCATGATGGCATACCATTTGCAAAAGAAGAAAACCCAAGGTATTGCAAATGGGGTATATTCAGTCTTTTTTAGTAGCCACTTAGTCACAAACACTGACCAAAGGTAGTGTTCATAATTGTTTTTGGCATTTTTAACACACAAACCAATATAAATGCTAACTTTGGCCAGTGTGTGTGACTAAGTGGCTACTAAAAAGACTGGACATACCCTATATTGAAAACCCTGGGTTTTCTACTTTAAAAAAAAATGTACATGTGAGGTGTGATTCAGAGATTTATGGCAGATAACAGTGTTACAATGTCTCTATACATTTTAAAAATATATATTTTGAAACAGCAATGTCCTACCTGTACTTATAGCCCTATAACTTGCAAAAAAAAAACATGTTAAGATTGGGTATTTCTAAACTCAGGACAAAATTTTGAAACTATTTAGCATGGGTGTTTTTTGGCGAATGTAGATGCGTAACAGATTTTGGGGGTCAAAGTTAGAAAAAAAAAACACATTTTTCATCATATTTTATAAAAAAAATTTTTTATAGTAAATTATGTTATGATGGAAATAGTATCTTTAGAAAGACAATTTGATGGGGAGAAATACTGTATATAATATGTGCGGGTAAAGTAAATGAGTAAGAGGAAAATTACAGCTAAACACAAACACAGCCCTGGTCCTTAATGGTAAGAAAATGGAAAACCGGTCTGGTCATTAAGGGGTTAATTGTTTACCTTCTCCTGTGTTTGGATTTAGCATTCAACAGAATGCATACTAGTATTCTTTCAGATTATTATAAAAGTTATCGCATATATCCAGTGGGTTAGAGTAGAACAGACCCATATTGAGCATTTTTTTTTACATTTTTAACAGTAATTTAATTCTAAAGACATGTATGTAGTTCATGGTTTTTTTTTTTTTTTTTGTTCTATTATTTACTTTAAGGCATCATTATCGGTGCATGATCATGGCTTGCCTCCTATGGAGGAAGCAGAAAGCTCAGCAAACATGGAAACTCTGCAGCATAGCCCCAATGCTCATTCAGAAGAAAAAGATGAGGATGACGAAGAAGATGATGATGAGGAGGAGGAGGAGGATGATGATGAAGATGATGATGAAGATGGTGAAGATTCAAGTTTTGATGAATGGGAGGCAGACCCGCCACGTCCATTTGATCCAAATGATCTGTGTACGTTTCTAGACATGTAGAAATATTAATAGATTTCTGTATGTGATGCTCCAGCTTATATTACTTGCTTAAAACGCTTTACCTTTAGGGGCAACTCGTTTTGAAAGGACACTCAATGCACCATAACCAGTTAATCTCATTGAAGTTATGGCGCCCAGAGGCCACAGATACTATTCCACAGTTCAGTGTTGAACTTTTCTTAATTAGTGTAACCATGAATGAGGGTCCCTCGGCACCCACAGACTGGCCCCTACTCTGCTGCTCTCATCCTATCACTGCAGCTAATGGCTGGTATGGATTGATAATTGATATGCAGAGTTATACTGCGCTTTAGCCATACAACTAAATATATAAAAAGTGGAACAGTCAACATTTAGGTGAGAATTCCCACACTAAAAAATACATTGTGCAAATACTTATGCAGCCAGTAGATGGTGCCCAATGTCATCAAATTAAATTGTACATGGAAGAAAAAAACTTTTATATAGATAATAGTGTAGATCGTTTAACAATTGTAAAATAGATACTGCTCTAGATCGTCTGGTAAATACAATAAGTAAAATTGACAGAACAAGTCCTTTTTAAAAATTATAAATCAATGAGCATCAAATGACTGACATAAACAAATAATAACTTTATTATATAACATACAATTTAAAAAAACGATCTAAATGATCCACTGCCACTTATAGGATTTTATCTGAGTATACACGGAACACCAAGCTGCTATTCACAAACACGCTTGATCAAACATGAGTTTTGGTCTCCCTCCATGGGTGTCCCCAGGCTCGCAGTTGTTTAGTATCTGGCGGCTTTGCAAGCTCTGCCCACTACTTGTGATGTTGACGCATTTCGCCGGTATAATTTTGCTTTCTCAAGACATAAAGTGCTGTTATTTTTAATTTGGTAGCGCCTACACACCGTTGCACTTCTCTATAAAGTGCTCATACCATCAGCAGGATCCAGAACCATGAGCAGCCAGTAACCCTCATTTAATGTCATACTGATTATCCAGTAGTGTATTTTCCAGACAAGTGAAAAATCCCTATACATAATTATACATATTTATTGAAATTATATATGTTGTTTGTTTTTTTTTTAAGGCATTTTTTTATGGATCTAACAAATGTTGAAAATAATTATTATAAACTGTATCCAGTTGTGATATTTTTGAAAATCAGTGTGTAAATCTGGAAGTATTGTATAAAACAACATTAAAGGTTTACTACAACCAAAACCTGTGTTTTTTATAAATCACTGTTTTTGGATTGAGTAAACCTTGCATGCATCGCTCTTGCCTGCAAAAGGGGAAAAAAGAAAGGAAAGAAATGAAGCAAAAAACATGCCTTAGATCCCATGCCGCGGCTAGTTTCTCCTGCAGCCTAATCCTCATCCAGTGATGTCACTCCACCTCACTGGGATCTGTGCTGACGACAGACGCCCAGTATGCACTGAATTAATATCTCTCAACTCTCATTCCTGGCTGGCTAGTGGTGCTACCGGTGGATTTACACATCTGATACTAATGTTCTCTATCTTTGTATGTGAAGCATTTGAAACAGAAATAATCTGCACATAAAGATTCCAAACGCCATGACCACTACGAATTAATGAAATAGTCATGATAATTTTCCTGTTTTTGTTTTTGCAGGGTGTGAGGAATGCAATAATGCACATCCCTCCGTTTGCCCTAAACACGGAGCCCTTCATCCAATCCCAAACCGCCCAGTCCTAACCAGGGCACGTGCCAGTCTTCCTCTAGTCCTATATATTGACCGTTTCCTTGGCGGTGTCTACTCCAAGCGCCGTATTCCCAAACGCACTCAGTTTGGCCCTTTGGAAGGTCCCCTTGTGAAAAAGAGTGAGCTGAAGGATGGTTATATCCACCTAAAGGTATGTTGTAGCACAAACTGTCCCAGTGGGAGGTTATAAAGCAACTAGTATTCTGTATGATGTTACAGAACCGATAGCTTCAACGTTTCTTACCCTGAAGGGACAAAAATTCCTGATCTGGTAGAGAGAGTTTTAAACATAAGCTGACACTTCTGTTTGTGAAAGTTAGACCAGCACTGCTTCATAGACTGACATCGAAAATGTTTAATATTCTATTAATACACAACATTGACATAGAAAGCCCCTCATTTATTAGCACACAGATTGTTATGGTTTACTTTTACTTTGTGGCTGCAGTTTGTCTGATGCTTCAATATGGTTCCCAGGTATCGCTGAACAGCACAAACTCTGATGGGAATTTGCATGAAGATCTCTGGTTTGAACTGTCAGAGGAGAGTCTCTGTAACTGGATGATGTTTGTACGGCCAGCTAAAAATCATCTGGAGCAAAACCTAGTGGCTTATCAGTATGGCCAGCACATCTACTACACCACAATCAAGAATGTGGAGCCAAAACAGGAGCTGAAGGTATGGAATAGATTATTTTATTTAACTAGAACCTGAAATATGTGAATATGCAGTTAACTAAGCTGTAGAAATCATTGGAATCTTTTTGCTCCTGTTGTTATGTGTGTCTTGAAGCAGTTTCACACAGAAATTGGTCTTTTCCATCTCCATTGATATTCACATTTGAAGAACTGTTATATTTGACTAATTATCCAAAGTGGAAATTTCTTTGGAATTGTATACAAAGATTGAGGGACAGTTAGTACCTAAATCTGTGAACAGATTTCACACCCAGGTGATCAATGACCAATTTTTAAATCTGTTATTAAAAGATCAGCCTGTTGGTAAGTATCTTGTTTTGACAGAATTGACAGTCTGCTGCACTCAGGGTACTTAGTCATGGTACATGTGTATTGTCACATCTGTAACTTTTTTTTTTTAAATAATCAAAGCCATGGCTATGAAAGGTTTAAAACCAGAAAACAATGCTCATAAAATATTCATGAATAAAACACATAATCATCATAAGTTGAAGAGGTAAATTTCATGAATTAGCTGCAGCATTTGCAAAAATATTGTCATAAGATATCAAAACATCCGTGTATCACCCTGACCTTCCAGAGTAGAAAATAAAGATCTCTGTATTCTAATGTATGTGTGTAGGAGAAAGTGTCCTCATAAAAGTAACATTTTGTTGGATCAAATAAGCAGACGCATATACTTAAATTAATGGTTTTGTGGTCTTTGCACTGGGTCGTTACAATAATGTACAGGATGCCAAGTGTGTGGTATGCACTAATGTGCGCATAATCAAATGCAAGTATTGGTGGTAAATATACTTCATTTGTAAACCTGTGATATTTATGTGGCAAACCCTGGTACTTCTGGTTAGATTAAATGGGTATACCAGTGCCAGTTAAATTTACTATTTATCATGATATGTTAAAGAAACACTTTGCCAGCTTCCGGTCATTACTAAATTCCTATGTCACTATAATCGTCTTCCATTGCTTGAATGGTTCCATTATAGCACATGTTAACTCTCCTCTCAGGTTTGGTATGCAGCCTCCTATGCGGAATTCGTCAATGAGAAGATCCATGATATATCCCAGGAAGAAAGAAGGGGTAATGTAATGCCTTTTATTAGTGACTCTCTGATTATGTATGTGCTTGTGTGATGGCAGGGGCTGTATATTGTTAATATTTAATGGAATAGCTTCTATAAAAGAGGGAAAGGGCACAGCAACTTGGCTTGAGGAGCCAGAACGGAAAATGTACACTAGTCTGACTCACATCTGATTCTGTAAGTGTACCTGAGTCAGGTCTGTGAATGAAACGGTTATTTGCCTTTTTGCACCATTTTGAAATGGGCAAAACTGTGCACAGCTTAAACTATAGTGGAAAATGTGAAATTAATTTTATTCAGCCGCCAAAAACTGTGAAAGGTTTCATTTCTACATTCAAAAGAAAAAAATAAATACATTTCAAGGTAGTAGGGGGAGAAAAAAAAAACTTAATTTAAAACAAAAATAAGCCAAAACCCTGCAACTGCAGTTACCTACTCAATGGCAATGCTTCTTAGACATTTTACTTTTCTGTTTTTCACCAGTTTATAGGGTTGTTGTTATAGCTTAAAATTGTTTATCTGTCTGCAAGATTTTTTTAATTTCCTTAATCAAAAACAAATTATTTATTTTTTTACTTCTGTACACATATGTGAGCATAGTATGGACTATATTACCAATTTTTTTTGTTCTATCTGTAGGATCATGTTCATTTGTGAGAACTGTTACAATTGTAGGGGATCCAAAAATATGATTAAACTGTCTATATCTACAACTAAAAAAACATAAATGTCTTATTTGTATTCGTTATGAAGCTAGGAGTGCCTTGGTGTCTTCCCTCCCCTTCGTCATTCTAAGTATTCATACAGTGTTTTAATGATTTGACTTCTTACCTGGGCTCCTCTCCCTTCCTGCACAGGAGAGGTGGAAGTACCTAATCTGGAACTCATTGGCTGAGTGTGTCAGCTGATTTTAAAGTTGAGGGAATTTTAGTCCTTTTTGTCACTTTGTTTGCTAATATATCTATGGCTTCTTTTGTTTTAGTTCTGCGGGAACAAGAAAAGAACTGGCCTTGTTATGAATGCAACCGCCGTTTCATGAGCTCAGAACAGCTTCAGCTGCACCTTAATACACACGACGAAAAAATCGATTTATTTAGCAGGTATATAGATATATTTACAACCTTATTTTTTTCTCTTTTTATTTTTAAAAAAAATGTTTTTATTTAATTTTTCAAAGGTAAAATTTACAAACGGAGTTTACCACTGTTTACTGCAAATACAGGACAATAACAATGTGTAAAATCCAGAATCCACATTTGAAAAAAAATGTGAGTCATAATAAGTAAAAATGTTTAACCCCTTAAGGACACGACATGTGTGACATGTCATGATTCCCTTTTAATCCAGAAGTTTGGTCCTTAAGGGGTTAATTTAAAGGATGACATTGGGCACAATATGCATGAACAACAGGTTAGAGGTCAACTACCTGATGTAGACAAAAGTATGTCTGCATTGCCACTGATCTCCCTTGTGGAGAAAATGGCTGTTTCCATCTTCTCTACTAAGCTAATGGATCTCATGAGTTTGCAGTTTGAAGCCCAGTGTGATGTCATTGTATAGTGTTGAGACAATGATGGAGAAAGAAAAGAAGAGAGAGGGATAGGCTGTAGGATTTTGAGTACTTGGATTGTTCAAATGGGTGAAACTTGTAATGTTGTCATGTTATCCATGTATTAGGACGTTTTTTTAAATTAGATAATTAGAGTGAGGTTGTTCATTATTGGTGGTTAGTGTAGGTTTCCTGCAAAAACAAGTACAAAGTACAGGGTGCACAATTAAAAACACCACCACACAATGTTATATACTTGTATCAAGGAGGACCTTACAATTTGTGTCTGGTTTTCTGTAACACATAAAACTGCACACAGTGTAATACTGTATATATACAGATATTTAAGGACACAGAGGTAATGGGTCACTTATTCTTCCCAGAGACACGTATAGCAGGTTCTGGCTGTGATGGCTTATAAGCAGATAAAGTTGCTGAAATGAATCCTGGAATTCTGTTACTCCCAAATAATCAGGAAACTCGAAGGTTTTTCTCAAATGGATTTACTTCAATAAATTGCAGAAAACAGGATATAGCAACAGACAATTAAAAATGTCCAAAGTAAAAGCACAACGCGTTTCAACCATATAGGTCTTCCTCAGGTGCAAGGTCCTCCTTGATATAAGTATATCACATTGTGTGGCGGTGTTTTTTAATTGCGCACCCTGTACTTGTTTTTGCACTTTATGTAGTGTCTTCTGAGTGATTATTGACACTAGGTTTGCTGCATCTCTCACAATTCAATAGTGCCAATCCACCATATCCAATTGTTTTGTACTTTTGATGAGTGTAGGTTTCCTACTTTTGCGTCTGTGTCCAGTATCAGTAGTCTCCAAACTATCAGAGTTTTGGTGGAGGTCACATCTCCCCTAGTGTTTAAGGTGATATATCTGGTACATATATGTGTGTTTGTGATGGTGTGTTCGGTCAAAGAGTGTCTAATCTCTTCCATGGATCTAATGAGTTCCACTCAGAAAACCATTCCCAAAGTGGCGATGAGATGGTTTGCTTCCATTATTTAGGAATAAGTGCTTTGGCTGCTTTCAGTAGATGGCATTCTAAAAAGTTAATGTATTTCTTCCTCGGTTTGGGTAAGTGGTGGAAGAAAACTTCAACAAAAAAAAAATAACAAGGTTAGGGGATATTGGCATGGTTAGCAATGATTGGGAGAATTTCTTGCTAGTAAGACTAAATTAAAAGACATTCCCACCATAGGTACCTTTGCACAATCCAGATCTCCAGCAATGTTCTAATACTTGAGGGAAGATGTTATATAATGTTATTGGGCTTTTATACCATCTGGAGAGTAATTTGAAATTAATTTCGATTGAGAGGATGTTAATTAAATTTGTGTAAATAAGAAAATATTTTGTTCCAATCCCAGTATTTGGAGCATCTAATATCTGACGCCCATTCTCTGATGAAATGAGGCAAAGAGGGGCAGGTTTATTCTTGTACGTGAGCATATAGCATAGAAAGGGTATTTTTGTGTATTGTTGGTTTGGAGCTCCCCTGTTCGAAGGTGGAGCAGGTAGGTAGGGTGGTTTTTCCAAGTAGAGTAGTGACGGTTAGTTGATCATGAAGGTTATCTATGAAGGATGGTGGTGTTTGGGCAGATGTCTGATATGGATTTAATCGTGTTTCCAACAGATATGTTCTGCAGTGTTATAAATAGGAAGTATGAAAGTGCTTGGCCAACACAGTCCCGGCTCCCCTGGAGGAGAGTTTGGGTTATGAGTGATTGGGGTCAAAGAGTGGGTGACTCGACTATTTGGTTACTATCGAATTTTCTCCACAATTGAAGAAGGGGAGTAACAGTGTGGTGGGAGTTCATACAGAGTGTAGTGATGGGACTGTTTGCCATGGGAGTTAAGCCAAGGGATATTTGATCCTATTCTGTTGCAGGTCTTTCCAGTGCTTGGTGCTATCTCTGTTGCATCATTCCAGTATTCTAAGGAATTGGGAGGAAATATAGGATCTAAAGGGATCAAGGAGACTGTCTTCCTTTGGATTTTGGACTTAATAATAATATTTGGTCTTCTGCCAAACTAAAGTCTGTGAAGAGTCTAATTTTTAAGACAAAGTAGTAGGAGGGTATTTGAATTGGTAGGGTTTGGTAAAGCTATAGCACTCGAGGAAGGGCATTTATTTTAATAATGTTGACTCGACCCATCCGTGAAATGTGAGGTTATCTAGATATATTTACATTCTGCATTTTTAATAATATCAAATGTAGAAGGGGCGGGGCTAGCACCCAGACCCAGACAGACACCATTTGCTGGAGCTCCTCTAAACAAACTTGAATTTGTATTATATTTACTTGTTTTTATTATTTTCTAGAAGTATGTATACATTTTTAATAGTTTCTTAAATAAACATATATTTTTTATCCACCATTGAATTACACTCTGCGCAAGTGATTCCAGGAAGGGGAAGTGTCACCCCTACTAACTGACACTAGGCTAAAAATACTTAGAGCCAGTTACCACAGGCTCTAAAGAAGGTGAGCAATTTTGTATTTTATTTACATTGATTTATATCGGTATCTAAAATACTACATTTAGATTGGGGATATCTGTGTCTTTTTTCCATGCAACGTGGAGAGGAATTACGCTCTTTTTTTCACCTTGAGAGACGGGTCGTGTGATCTACCCTAAAAAGACACAGACACCTGGAAGTTTAGAGCCTTATAACTGTAAAAGGCTCTAAAAAATGTGAGTTTATTTCAATTCATCATTCACAACTAAAGGACTTTTTTTGGATATTTATTTAACATACTACACTATTATTTGTACTCTTTCTATGTTTTCTATTTTTTATATATCACTAAGAAAACTAAAGCACAATATATAGGGTAAGTGCGTGTGTTAGCACTGTCCTTTCACTGAAAATTTCACTATATATTTAGCGCTACACTCATGAGGAACTGAAGATCTGGGAGATATAAATATCCACCTAGATCCAAAGTTTTCTCTGTTCTTTTTGGTGTTTAATTATGTATGGTGGGTTATAAGGAGTACCCACGGAGTGTATATAGCAGCTAAAACCACAATTCACTAATTATATAGCGCCACTATTCCACATCTTTTTGTGTTCAAACTTGAAATCTGCCCGATATCATCGAAACAAGAGCCCACCCAGCCTCAAAACTCACAAAATCGGACTCTGCTGCCCGAGCTGAAAACATAGATGCCTTTCTTCTAGCCAAAAAAACAACCAAAGCGGCGACGCAAAATCGAGACCTACCACCCTCTCCAGATCCCCAGCCTTGCGTCACTCTTCTGTGGTGACCTCGTGGAGCGGCCGAAGGCGACCTCAACACACACATCGCCTGACACACTCACCATGGGCCGTAAATCACAGAGACCCGTCACAGGGTCGGATACCAGGGACATTGGGGCGATGCTCCAGAAGCCCAAACAAACCCTGGCTGGAGACCAACTGTACATAGAACCAGAACCGTACAGCCACGAGATGGAGGTACCACAACACCGCCCGGCGAAGAACCACGCCAGCGAACCCTTCGGATGATTCAGCCCCAACAACTAGGGGAGACCTGAAGGTCCTATTGGCTGATATTCACAAGCTCCTGGCTGCAGATTCAGCTGTATTTAAAACACAGCTACAGGCCGTAACAGAGAGAGTCAAGGCCATAGAGGAGGTTATAGTGGACTCAGTCTACCATGCAAACCATGCAGGACTCTATCCACCAATTACAAGCGCACAAGACTATCCTGAACGCAAAACTCATAACCATGGAGGATAGACAACGCAGCGCAAATATCAATATAAGGGGTATCCCTACAGCAATATCCGCGGGGGAACTGCCCTTCTACACCAGACGCCTCTTGACATCTATATTACCTCCCACGCTGGCCCGCAAAATCACAGTGGACAGTCTATATCGCATCCCCAATATAACCAACACTAATTCCAACCTGAACCGGGATGTCATCCTGCGCTTCCACTCAGTACAAGACAATACACATGTCATGACAGCTGTGAAGGTGCAGAGCCCCCACTCCCGTTTGAAAATGCCACCTTGAACTTTTTCCAGGATCTTACAAAGGCAACGCTGCTGTGGAGGAAAACCTACGCACCGGTAACTTCCCAACTACGCACGGCAGGACAGCCATACAGATGGGGAACCGACAACTCTTTAACTGTCACGAAAGAAGGTACTACGCACGTCCTTCACACCATGGCTGATGCAACTTCTTTCCTGGGTAAATTAGGACTACCCATTCCAGCTGACAACCGGTCGCTACCTGAGAGTGCCAGAGACCCGGCCACCATCACCCCCTTTGTCCCACGCACCAGAGGGACACCACAGACACCCATGGCTCCACAACCTAGCCCACTTTAGAAGGCTCCGGCCTCGAGACACCCAGAGAGGACACTGATGCACGAGGGAAACCTCGGACCAGGACACAATGCAGTTACTAGAACTACCTTTTACCTTTACATTTACTATAACTTTTATCTATGTTTTCACAACTTATCGTTTAAAGCAGTTTAACACGCTTATCCTGACTACGAGCAAATCACACCCCAGATAAAACACTGGACACAACACCAGAGAGTCAGTGGGGCCACAACCTCCCTCCCCCCGCTACCCATTGGTTAGGGGTATCGCACATACCAGCTTCCGCTACCAACAACAAACTTCATTCCCGGACTTTGCTGACCCTTTAGTTAGCACCCGGAAAGGACAAAACGGCTCACGGGCACAGACCAAACTGGGAACCAACACCACTACATAAGCTGATACGTGTCACTTACCTCAACTCCATGAACCACACACATGACATCCATAATGACACAATGTTTTTCTTTGTTACAAGACTCCTGCATATTTGTCTACATAACTTCTAACATGTTAGCCTTGTATACCATTGTTCAATGTTGGAAAAAAAAAAATGAAAATGTGCACGTTGCGAGACATGCCTAAGCTATATATGGCATGAATAATATACGAATGTCTTTTGTCCGTCTTATATCTCTCATGCACATCCAAAATAAAGATAAGAAACAAAAATCTCCTGTGAAACTGGTGTTTGACCATATTTTTTGAGATGTGATGAAATTATATTTGCAATGTCTTTGAAATATTCAGCAAAATCCATGGCTGTATGAGGGAGGGGTTGTCAGATTATTTGGTATTCAACTTCAAATGCTTGGAACTTACTATTGGAATACACTTAAATGCAAAGAGAAAGCACAACCTAATTTGTACTGCCTTAGAAACTACCTTTTTAATCAAAATTGCAGTTACGAAAATGTTTGTTCTCAAAGAGCATATCTTTATGTATGGAAGAATTACACAGGGACAATCACAGAATTCAGTTTGTTGATTTCACTTGTCCTCCGAAGAATGCAGCCATGAAAACTTTAAAAATAGATGTAAAGTTAATACTATAAATGTCCCAACGCGTTTTGTCTGCTCCGTACTGACTTCCTCAGGGAATGCAGACCTGTAAATAAATTTGCTTGTACTTTGTACCAACTTGTAACAATTTATCTACAATCTATATCTATCTAAGATCTAACCGTAATGTGTGTGCCAAGTTGCATATAGCTGCACAGTGAGTCCTCTATTGCCAATCAGGGCCAGTTTCAGCAAGTGAACCATTGATATGATCTCCATGGACTATATGATGGTAATTCTTTATTTTTCAGAACAAAGGGGAGAGGTCGGGGTCGAACGAAGAGAAAATTTGGCCCTGGGAGAAGACCTGGACGGCCCCCAAAATTTATGCGATTTGATAACCACAGTGACAACCGTGAAAAGTGTGGCATAGGAACACAGGTAACCATGAAAGTGTTTTTAAAACAGAATTGTAACATGTACTTCCCCTCCCCCCCTCTCTCTAAATTTTCTACAAATGTATTCCACACTCCCCGCTTCCCCATGTGAAATGCTTGATCTTTCGGGTACAGCAAGAGCATACCACTGCAAATTAGCTAAATTCTTGCAATATTTTATGCATTTGCACACTTAAATATGTGGTACTGTGAAATGAATGCCCTGGCAAGCATTCATTCATTGGGCATTACTCTGTAGATGCCCAGAGGATCATGTGGGTTGATGTTGTCTTGAGCACGCAATTGCAGCAGAAGTAAAAAAAAAGGGACTCCCTAAGTGTGGAGAGACTTACTCTTTTATAGAGAATCACCTGAGAGTGGAAGAATAGTCAACTCAGTGCGGCTTTTTTCTGTTTAGCTGTTCCTTTTTTGACTATTTAAATGTACTCTCCCTTTGTTTATGTCCTGTATGGTATGTAGTTCTCAGCAGTGCCCTCTCTTTCTCAAAGGACCTACTTCATTTCCCAAATAAGACATCACAGTACGAGGACTCTGACCACACGACTTTGAATGGACTGGATCAGCCAGAACTTACACTAGGTGGAACCACTCAATGCGAACTGGATCCACCACCCGAAAATCAACTGCTGCAGCCTGTGTCCCATGAAGCCAGCACCCCATCCATATCCCATAGCGTTTTAACTGCTGAAGACATGCGACGGGCCAAGCGCATACGGGTAAGATCCCTTAATTAGCAATCTTGTCATATACAGCCCGGTGTGAGTGTGTTTGTTAAATATTTTGTCTCGTGCAAAATTAGTGCATGTAGTCATGCTTCCCTTTTTTTTTTTTTAAACGTGTGAACTGTCTTTCTTATAGACTACAGTTGGCAGTCTACTAATCCTCGGGTGTAGAAATGGTCAGAATATTTATTTAGAACCAGGGTTGTTCATTCAACCAGGGATTGTGAATAGTTCAGTAAGTGATGGCAAATATTAGACAGAAATTGCATAAAAGTCCCTAGTGAACATTTCATAATTCCCTTTTTAGTGAGTTTCTTGGAGAAGGGCAGAATGCCATCTATCATGCTCGGTTTTTGAAGGTGCAGTGAATAAAATTGGCAAGGAGTATACAGTATATGGGCAGTGAATGAATACACATGAATCTTTATACCCCTGCTGGAGTATAAAACAAAAGGGCAGGGGTCCAGTAATGAACTGCACAGACCAGTTCATCCTGGCAAACCTTAAGTATTCTTATAAGGTTTCCACCAGCCTGCAGCAGGGCAGTGCTACTGCTTGGAACAAACATTGCTAATGGTGATGTCTCTCTCTCTCTCCTCCTGCTCACCATCCAGCTGGAGCTGCAGGTAGGTGTGATTCCATGTAAACTATGCTTTCATTGGTGGGATCATTAACCTCAGCCTGTCAAATAAAAGATAACTACTTTTGGGGTAAAGGACATTTTATGTTCGTTGCAACCTATTTTTAACCCATTTGTGTTCAGATTATTTACATATTTTAGTTGTGGTGAGTAAAGGCTTAAATGTTGGCTTGCTGTCCACAGGTTGAACTGGGGTGCATGCGCCTCAGTGCATAATAAGTTGTGTGTAATGCAAACTGTGCTAAAAGTTCTGAGGATCTAGACATTGGCTAACAGTGTGACTGATCCAGTATATGGCCTTAGTGGCGTTCTTGTCTTCTATGGATATAGGAAACCTTCTTTTATTGAATCATTATAATATTGAAATTCATTGTGCATGTTTGACACCTGTGCCTTGATTAGCGTTATCTGTTACATCACACGTGTGTCTTGCAGAACGCTGCTTTGCAGCATCTCTTTATTCGCAAGTCGTTCCGGCCATTTAAATGCTTGCAATGTGGAAAGGCGTTCAGAGAGAAGGAAAAACTGGATCAGCATCTTCGGTTCCATGGCCGTGATGGTAATTGTCCCCTTACCTGCGATATCTGCAATAAAGGCTTTATCAGCAGCAGCTCTCTGGAGTCACACATGAAGTACCATTTGGACCAGAAGACGTATTCATGTATCTTCTGCCCTGAATCTTTCGATCGCTTGGACATGCTGAAAGATCATGTTGCTGTGCATGTTATCGATGGCTGCTTCAGCTGTCCAACATGTAAGAAACGTTTCTCTGATTTTATACAGGTGAGAAAATGACAATTATTAACTCAAGTTTTCCTTTTATTTCAAACTGAATGATGTTAATTGAATTAGATATGCAATTTACACATGTCTGCCTGTCTCTCTGTGTATATATAAATGTATAACTACATGTATCTCACAAATGGCGATACTTTATTTAAAAACTATATATATATATTGTCTATATGACTTACACTGATCAGCCACAACATTAAAATCACTAACAGTTGAAGTGAATTACATTCATTATATTGTTACAATGGTACCTGTACATTTGGATTTGTACAGAATATTTGATAGAGTCCTAACCTCAACATCTGAGGAAAGGGATTTAGGAGTAACTATTTCAGATGACTTAAAGGTAGGCAGACTATGTAATAGAGCAGCAGGAAATGCTAGCAGAATGCTTGGTTGTATAGGGAGAGGTATTAGCAGTAGAAAGAGGGAAGTGCTCATGCCATTGTACAGAACACTGGTGAGACCTCACTTGGAGTATTGTACGCAGTACTGGAGACCGTATCTTCAGAAGGATATTGATACTTTAGAGAGAGTTCAGAGAAGGGCTTCTAAACTGGTTCATGGATTGCAGGATAAAACTTACCAGGAAAGGTTAAAGGATCTTCACATGTATAGCTTAGAGGAAAGACAAGACGGGGGGATATGATAGAAATATTTAAATACGTAAATGGAATCAACACAGTAAAGGACCTAGTCTTAAATTAGAGGGGCAAAGGTTTAAAAATAATATCAGGAAGTATTACTTTACTGAGAGGGTAGTGGACGCATGAAGTAGCCTTCCAGCTGAAGTGGTAGAGGTTAACACAGTGAAGGAGTTTAAGCATGCGTGGGATAGGCATAAGGCTATCCTAACTATAAGATAAGCCCAGGGACCTAATGAGAGTATATAGACAATTGGGCAGACTAGTTGGACCAAATGGTTCTTATCTGCCGTCACATTGTATGTTTCTATGTAACATTGACTGGTTAGGTAGCACAGATTTGCTTTTTGCAATAAAGTGCCAAAATATCATACTTCTGTACAAGTTCCCTAACTCTGAAATGTCCTGTCTCAGTCTCACCATGACTATTATTTTCAGTAATTGTGTCCACACATTTTGTGTGTAAATTTTAGTTTAGATTCTCTGTGGCTGGCTTGTTTACCTGCGATGATATAATTTTCCTGACTATCAGGTTAAAAAGCATGTGCGCAGTTTCCACTCTGAGAAGATCTATCAGTGCACGGAATGCGATAAGGCTTTCTGTCGACCGGACAAGTTGCGTCTTCACATGCTCAGGCATTCGGATCGCAAGGACTTCCTCTGCTCCACATGTGGCAAACAATTTAAGGTGAGTCGATTTTCTGAGAACTCGACATTATCACAAATGTCATTTATCCATATAATGTTCAATACTTACTTTGGGATTTTGGGGGGTTTCTGCGTCTTTGAGACGTATGCAGATCCATTATCATGATTTGGAGTGTATAATAAATAAATGTCATGTTTGAGTAAATTTATAAATACGCTTATTATTTATTATTTATTATTTATTATTTATCCAAGTTTGAGAACAATAATATTCTCTTGATATTTCCATGTGATAGTGAGGTGCTATTGGTCCTTTTTAATTTACTTTGGACCTTTGTCAATGATCACAACACAATTAATTTTGTATATTCGCTAATTTATACCCTTCTGAAATGCATTATCCAAGGATATTAAAATGCTATAATTGTGTTTTGTTATTGGTTGCAAGATTGTATTGGTCTGCGGAGATGTATAACGTGTGTATGTGCGTTGTTTAGTGCTTTCTATGACTCCATAAAACATGTATGTATTTAGGAATTTTGTTGTTGTAATTTTATGAATCCAGGGATAATGCCTGGTTGGGCGTTTGGTATTAAAATTGAATAGTTTAGATTTGTCCCAATCAGACATCCTAAAGAATTTTCTTCTTCGCTAGCTTTGAGCAGTTGTTCAAAATAGCAGTGAGGGCGTCTCATAAGGAAGATTAGTTTTTATGTTTCTCTAACGGACAATTGAACACTGTTGGCAATAAATGTATTTTAATATTGGAGTTTGTTATCAACAAGGACTCAAGCTGAATAATGTTTCCCCCAGATTTTTATGAATACATTTGCCATTTTTTTATCAGAGGAAGGACAAGTTGCGAGAACACATGCAACGCATGCACAATCCAGAGAGAGAAGCCAAGAAAGCTGATCGCACGGGACGCACAAAGACTTTCAAACCACGTCTAGCCTCCACGGACTATGAAAGCTTCATGTTTAAGTGCCGTGTGTGTATGATGGGCTTTAGGAGACGCGGCATGCTGGTAATAACAATGGAGTTACGGTGTATAGGGCGCTGCATGCTCTGGGTTTCCGCAGTTACCTTTTCTCTAATACATCCTCTCCTCTAGGTTAATCATTTGTCAAAGAGACACCCGGAAATGAAGATTGAGGAGGTTCCTGAGCTGACCTTGCCCATTATCAAACCCAACCGTGACTATTACTGCCAATACTGTGAAAAGGTGTGTAATGGTGCACAAACCAGGATTTGTTTCCAGAAGGTGACACAATACCATCTGTCAATAATTACCAGCATCCTTGTGTTACATTCTGGGCAATGATGCATCAAGTCAATACTCAAATGATTTTTCTATATTGCACATCAGTTGGTGCTCTGCTTCTGTGCACACTGGCCTCTTAGGATGTGTGTTATTTTTTTTATTTTTTTATATTAAATCACAATCTTATTTCTCTTCCAATTATATTCTTTTTAACTTTTGTGTTCAAGACAGAACACACATTAGTAGCTGCTTTTGTAAATTAGGGAAATGTTTGTGCCCGCTCATAGCTGATCGGTTACACCATGAGAGTGTTATTGGTTTTGGGAGATAATTTGTGCAATTACAAGGAAAAAAAGGAGCTAGGGGTAGCAACACAATTTTGATATGTACAGTGATATATGCAGTATGAGTCCAAAATGGTAAAACAAGTCCAAGAGATAATGTAGATATGCACTTATCAGAAGTATTTATATAACAAGTGTCTGGGTAATTCCTCAATGGGCGTAGCAGGGTGGGTTCAGCAGTGGAGTCCGTATGAAACAACAGAAAGGAATAATAAAGTAGTATGTTCTTACAGGGGAAAATAAAAGGAAAACTATATAGTCCTACTTACGTTTTATGGAGCTGGAACTAGCTCCAGTATGAATGGCATACAGTGGTACAATCCCCACTTGCAAGGATACGTGAGAATCAAGTCTTTGTAGTAGGTGGACCATAAAAAGAAAAAACAATAATGCTCAATGAATAAAATGCCAGGAGTAAGGATATATGGAAATGTACTCACATATGCCAGAGCAGACAGACTGCTCTATGGATCAGGCGTGGGTGGTATAATCCCTACCAAGGATGTCTTTGGAGTAGTACTCACTGGAGATAAAAATCAGGTGCCAGGCAGTATGAGGTAAAATAAAATCCAAATAAACTAGTGATAATAAAAATGTAGAAAAATTAGTAAAATGGCACACTCTAGTAAAGTATAAAATAAGCCAATGTACCTTTATTCATACAATAATACAACACAAGTTAAAACAACATAAATAGTAACCACAACGAGTTTCGCCTCTAGGGCTTCTTCAAGTGGAGATAAAAAGGAATCATTTGACATATGAGGGTTTAAATAGGGGAATGAGGGATTGTCAATGCTGGCAGGGGGAGGAGCTAAAACATTTTTTATTTTTTTATTTAAACATACAAAATAGTTCTGGGTAGATATACCATATATACTCGAGTATAAGCCGAGTTTTTCGGCACATTTTTTGTGTTGAAAAAGCCCCCCTCGGCTTATACTCGAGTCACTGTCATTGCCATAATACAGACCAGGACCGCCAGGCTCATTATAAACCCGGCGGTCCTGTTGGGGGCCGGAGCAAGCTGCTACTTACCTTTTGTAGCAGCTCCGTTCAGCTCCCCCGTTCAGCTCACAGTGTAAGTCTCGCGAGACCTGCGGCCGTCAGAGCATTGCCACGCTCTGACGGCCGCAGGTCTCGCGAGACTTACACTGTGAGCTGAATGGGGGAGCTAAACGGAGCTGCTACAAAGGTAAGGAACAGCTTGCTCCTGGCCCCCCCCCCCTGCACAGCCCATGCCACTGTACCATCAGGGAATGAGAGAGCCCACCTCCCTGGTCAGGTAACAAGCAGGGGGGGACAAAAAAATAAAATGAAACGAATAATAAAATAATATTAAAATAATAATAAAATATTAAAAAAATATATATTAAAATAATAAAAATGCTCTCCCCCACCCAGTTTACACACACACTACACACACACACACACACACACACACTCTCTGCATTGACACAAACACACACTCTGCATTATATACACAGTATACACAGAGTGTGTGTTTGTATGTGTGTGTGAGTGTGTGTAAATAATGCACACACTCATACAAACACACACTGCATTCATTATATACACACACTGTAAATAAATATTAAATTAATGTAATTTTATTGGGATCTAATTTTATTTAGAATTTTACCAGTAACTACTGCATTTCCCACCCTAAGCTTATACTAGAGTCAATAAGTTTTCCCAGTTTTTGGGGGTAAAATTAGGGGTCTCAACTTATATTCGGGTCGACTTATACTCGAGTATTTACTAAATAATGAATAATTTTTAAACCGGCAAATAGCCTTAGGTAGAGACCTTACCATGGGCTGGATAATAAAAATAATATTATGGAATAGGGAAAGTGGAGGGGATTAGAAAATATAGCAATATAGGTAAAACATCTTTAGAGTCCAGAACTGACGTTCTAATATATGTATAACTGTATAAAATGGTATATTTGTCTTTTACATTGTATTAGTATATAAACATAAAATAAATTTTTTAGACATGGTATACTAGGCTAAACGTGAATAATTTTAAGATCAAAAATAAAATATAGATAAATACAATGAAAATAAATACATATGTACATAAATACAGATCGTAAAAATGAATAAAAATAAATATAGAAATGGGAATTCTCTCCATAAAATATTTGAAAAAGTATATTTTATAAAAAAAAATTAGGAAATTTAAAAAGGTCAAAGTCTACATTTAATCCATTTGGGGCAAGGGTTTTTAAGAGATAGACCCAATACATTTCTTTTTGACATCGCCACCTCTCCAGGAAACTTTACATTTCTGGATGTATAGTGTTTTTATCATGGATTAGAAAGTGTTTTGATACTGAATGATTTGGGTATCCTCTGATTATATTTGGACAGTGTTGAGCTAGTCTGGTTACAAGTAATATTCTCTTGGCTTCCATGGTGATTGTTCCTCATTTATAAGTTTGTCTCAGGATGGCTCATTTTACAGACCCCTGGATGTCTCCTGGTAGCCAGTCAGTCTCAGCAGAATACATTGTTCCTGTTTTTTCCTTAATGCAATAAATGGTTTTGGATTTAACAGGTTTACAAGAGTGCTAGCAAGCGCAAAGCACATATCCTGAAAAACCACCCTGGAGCAGAACTCCCTCCGAGCATCCGTAAGCTCCGACCTGCAGGTCCTGGAGAGCCTGATCCTATGCTCAGCACCCACACTCAGCTAACAGGAACTATAGCTACCCCGCCGGTGTGCTGTCTCCACTGCTCCAAGCAATACAGCAGCAAGGTACAATGGATTCCCCTTCCTGGCTCTGGTGCATAGGGGTTAATCCGGTCAGGCACGGCTGCAGTGCTGTTGATATTCTGTAAATGTTGTATTAATCCAAGTGTACTTGATGTAAACCATTGGAATGCATTTGCTGGTATCAGGAGTTCCAATAAGCTGAATACTCCATGTATTATAGAGCACATAATATTGTATTGTATTGTATTGTTGCTTGTAACGCCCAGTATCTTTGGGTCCTTTCATCATGTTACCCAGCAAAAACAGTGCTCTATCAGTTTGTGCACAGCATCAGAAGAGAAACTGAATAGGTCTAATAAACGGAAGAAACTACGTAGGTTGTGCTGTGTAAAAAAAAAAATGCCAAGAGCAAAGTTTTCCTTTTTTTTATTTTTTTATTTTTTTTTACATTGAGAAAGCAGCTAGAACCAGCTGTAAAAGTATTGTTCATTTTAAGTCTTCCAATCACAGATAGTATGTTTCCTATATTCACATTAAAGGTAATTAAATAGCTTTCTTTAAACAGTTGAATGGTAATACATTCCAAAATGTTTACTTATAGCTCTAAATTCTGAATATATTCTAGACAGTATTGTAAAAAGAAAACTAAACTGATACTGAACTGGAAAAAGCTTGATATTTACAACATAATCTATTACACTATTTTAGGAATAGAAGGAAAAATATAAAATAGTCAGCTAAACATAAAAGGAAACTGTAGGGGGTGGAGAAGGACCTTCAGGCATTGTATAGATTAAAAAAGAAGCTGGAGGAACCATGGACAGCAATAACTGATATTGAAGTTAAGATTTGTGTTTTTGATCAATGAGAGTTAGAAGTCTGAAGAATCATAGTGCATCCATAAAGCTTTAAATCGGGTGAACAGAAACTAAATGTGTACCTGTTCTTTTTTTGTTTTGTTTCTTTTCCCTTCCCTAATAATGATTGTCATTAGACAAAGATGGTCCAACACATAAGGAAAAAACATCCGCAATATTCTATGCTGCCAGTAACATCACAGCCATCTGTAATCAGTACAGCCCCAGCTGTTCTTACCGCTGATGGCACCAACGGAGAAACGGTGATGGTGAGTAGCAACGCTAGTGATCATTCTTGCAGTGGTTGGCTTTCCTGATGTCCAGTAATTGTTTTTATGTATGTATATGTAAATGTGTGTGTATATATGTTTTACATGTCAGCAACCTAAATCATTCTATTTTTTTGTTTCTTTATAGCTGTAATATAGTACACTGGTAGTACTGCTATAAAGAGTATTAAAATGCTAGCGTTAAGTGAGCCTGAAATCACTCCCATATACACAAATTGCCGTTTTGTCGGCGGAGGAGGAGCACGATCCAGCACCGAGTGATATCGGTGCTGAAATCGAATGAGTGAAAAAAATTAAATTCTATTAACTCTTTATTTGCCATTGAGGGGCACTGCTTTTAGAGTGACACTAGTGTTAGGAACACAGGTTTATATTCCTAACACTATCGTGCTACCATTAATTGCTAAAATATATTGTGTTATTTTGTAACTCATAAAATGTGTAGCAAAATCATATCTATTTATTTATTAACCTCGTAATTCAGGAAAAAATGATCTATATATAAAGGTAGTCTGTACCTATTAACTCCTAATTCTCTCCTGGTCCTGTAGACGACTGATTTGCTGACACAAGCGATGACAGAGTTATCACAAACACTGACAACAGAATACCGTACAGTGCAGAGTGACTATCAACGCATACAGTACATCCCAATTTCTCAGGCCACGGCTGGGATGCAGCAACCACAGCACATCCAGCTCCAGGTGGTGCAAGTAGCGCAGGTAAGAGCATGTTCTGTAACGTGGGTGATTGTTTCTAAAGTGACCCTACATTTTCAAGAATAGCAGATCTTCCGAACGCTTTGTTGCCTGTAACAAAAATTCTAAATATCCCTCTCTTTTCAGGCACCCTCCCCTCACCAGTCCCAGCATTCAACGGTGGACATTGGGCAGCTTCACGAGACGCAGGGCTATACCCAGCATGCCATTCAGGTACAACATATCCAGGTGGCTGAACAAGCGTCCAGTACCCAGGCACCTTCTCAGGTAAACTGGTGTTTACTCCATCATCTTGAGAGGGCAAATATACGCTGCAATACAGTTTTTAAGAATGTACAGCTTGAAAGGCCTCACTCATGCTTGATTTGCAGTTGGGATGTTTTGGTTGTGTGATGCTAAGGAATAATGCTACCACATTAAGTGCTGAAACTCCTTACATAACGTAGCATGTGACTATGCACCCATTGTTGAAGCTGATGGAAAGTTTCTTATTGTGACTGCAGGTAGCAGGACGTCCTCTAAGTCCCACGTCACAGGAAGCAGAGCAAGGTGTCAGCCCATCCCAAATGCAGACTCAAGCCTCTCAAACACAGACAAACAACACTGTGCAGCACACCTACTTGCCAAGCGGCTGGAACCCATACTGTAAGTCTTTGGTTGTATGGTTTTAAATACACATCGCTGGAATAAAAAAAAGTGTATAAATAATTCTTTAAAATAGTGAATACCTTGACATAGCCAGTGGGAGCAAAATTTATTGCCAGCTTTACCCAACAGCTTCTCTCATGTTTGCTTGGTGGGATCTGTGTTTCAGGTATGTGCAGAAATACAATTAAGCTATTCTTGGAGAAGGCTGATGTCACTAGCTTTTATTTTGTACTAGGCACTTATTCTCAGAATAGCTGTAATGGTAACTGTGGTGCTTTTACACTGGGTGTATTTAGAACATTGAAGCACTATAAATTGTGGAGATTTTGCAGTTTGTATTGATTTACATTGTGTAAGGTTATTCATGTTAACCTTGTGCTTATAGTGGATGTGACACCAAACTACATTGAAGAGCACAGTTTCGTCCAAGTAAGCAATAGAGATGCTAAACAATGCGTAATTTTATTTGTATTCTTTCCAGTCCATGGCCAAAAGTAAGTACCTACAGTGCATTAATAACATTCTGTTATTGCATGCATTGCAATAGACATTGTGATGAATTTTCACAGTAAAAAACGGTTTACCTGCCAGATGCAATTACCTCTATTTACAATAAAATACTAAAGTCTCTATTATTGACAAATTATGGTCTGCTGATGAATTAGCTTCCTCATCTCGCCTTTTCTGATTTTACAGCCTCTGAGATTCAAATGATGTTACCCCAAGGGCAATATGTGATTGCAGAGGCCGCAGTGGGCACACCAGTTACTCCTATTACCAGTAGTCAGGTGAAAGCAGTTACTCAGGTAAGGACTGTACTGAATGGAAGAGAAGACTGATTATTAGAATTGTTTTTTGTGAGTGTTTCCCTGTGTAAACCATCGGCGAGACTGCTTGGAAGATGAAGATATGAGTGCTGTAATCGAACCAGTCTGAGCAAAAAAATGAAATTTGACCCTAACCTACTGTGAGTGTCCCTCATAGATCTGTATTCAGCATGAATGGTGGGCCTCTCTCCGCTCAGAATCCATAAACACAACAGAGTCTGTTCTTTGTTTATAAATTGCTATAATAGGAAGAAAACATACCTGCATACAAACATATATATTAATTGTCATGTACATTTCCATGTGTGAGTAATTACCTGCTTGAGTGTTGGATACATATGAAAGTGTTGTTGAGACGATTAAAGTAGCAATCAGTAGGTTTATTCTCAGAACCATATGTAAATGGTTTTTACAATACAATCGGTTAATATAATAGAAGATATCAGAATCGAGAGCATTTTTCAGACCATATTATATAATTTGTGTCTGCTTTAAGTCTCTTATCCATGTTTCTATTTCTGCTTAATGATTGTAATTTTTCTAGTGCAATATTATACTGTTTGCTATCTCCCTTCAGACACACTATGTGATCTCTGACGGGCAGAATGACCTAGAAATGAAGAAGAATGCTGTTTTAACAGAAGATGTTCCAACAAACGCAGATCAAATCGAGCAGCATTTGGCCAATCCATCTCAGACAACACAGTACATTATCACCACGACCACCAACATGAACGGTAGCAGCGAGGTGCATATTAGCAAGCCCTGAGAGAGGCCAACGGTGGCTGAGAAACACTGTATAGACTGCAAGCACCTCTGTTCATAGAGGAATCCTGAGTGGGAAAAGATTGTGGCCACTCCGGACCAACCTACTGGGATCCCATACAGAATCTTACTAAAAAATATCCGAATGGCAAGGCAACAGGCAGTACCAAGTGATCACAGGAACTAGCTCAAAACTGTTAGAACCATCTTACAATAAAAAGCGTTTTCTCCTGGTTCCATGATGCATGGGATTGTCATTGAAAATGTCACCATCTTGGCATAAGGGCACGTTTCAGAAGGTACCCAAGTGTTAAGAGCTTCTAAAGTTGGTGCAAAGCATGGTGGCACCTTGCTAATTAATACCTTTTATTTAATACCCCTATAATCTGCCATCCTACATACTGCAGAAAGATAATTTATCACCTCTATTTCTACTACTGTTAACGACACTAGGTAGAAGATAGATTTAAGTGTCTGCATTCCATTAATGTTTTTTTAAATTGAAGTCATCCATGACATCTGATCAGATTTTCCAAGATTAAATGTGTAGCTGAGTCACAGGGAATATGTGAATATTTTTATTTGTGTTTGTGCAGCACACAAGGCATGCCCAAGAGACAAGGACATTTTGACAACTGATTGTTAGATTCTTGGTGTATAGATGAACTTGTGTATTATTTTCAAAAGTAGATTTTAAACTTGTAATGTATTTGCTCATAAATGATTTACAGCGAGCCATGTTTACACCCGACAGAGGTTTCAATTAGTCACCACTTACATTCTAAATAATATTGGTTATCAGGAGTGCCTGAGTGAGTGAAAAAAAAGCTAGATGGTAAAGTCAGACCTATTCTTTGTAACACCCATTTTAAAGCATTGCATAAAATCCTACAAAATCTGACACAACTGGCTCAACCAAATTAGAGTATTCTACCGTTTCACTGTGCACTGACTACTACTTTTCAGTCTAGTTCTAATATTCAGTGTGAGTGCGCCACAGGCAGTGTACTGCACTGCGGGTGAGATGCCATTATTGCGATTTAACAAACCTATTCATTTTTGTTCTATATATAGATATATTTTGATGAGCAAGCAGCCAGAGGCAGTGACATGAGGACTGTCACCCCTTACTTTATTGTGAAAATGATTTTTATTGTTATTCCTGTACAATCAAACATTTTTTCATTCCTGACTTTTTTACTAGAACATTTTATGCCCACAGTCAAATCCCAGTTCATTGGTTAATATAAGGAACATTAAAGCATGTTGTGAGGCTACAATAACTAGGAGCCACCCATGTGTGGGGGGAGAAAATTGCAAAAGGGTGATGGAATCCTTTTCTCTGACATTTAAAAAACATTCTTTCAATTATGTGGATGTGAGAGTAGGGCTGGTTTTGAAAGCAAGGTGCAGATTACAGAATATTTGCCTCCTTTAAAAAAATAAAATAAAAAAAAAACATGCCCAAAAACGTTAAAGTTTAAATGATAAAACCACATTTATCTGTTATTGTTGCTGTTTTTTTTTGTTTTGTTTTTTTATTCTGGCAGTTAACTATATCAATTTTAACTTATTCCAGATCCTGCAGTCAAGATCTGACATTAATTGTGGATTTTCTGTGACTGTGTGACTGTGTTTCTGTGGTGGGGGGAGGGGATGGGGGTTATATTATTATTTTGATAGATTTTTTTATTTTTTTTATTTTTTTTTTATTTTTATTTTTTTAAATGTGGTACACCTTAAACCTGATTATTACTGCAGTAACTTGCATTACAGAATCCTATTCAGGCACCATTTTAATAAATTTGCTTAGTAATTGTATTTGCAGACTTATTGAATGTTTGTGTAACCCTTAGTGTGACACATTGTTGTAATGGCTCTTTCCAGCTCAGTTTTAGGTTTACCAGTTTCTCTATATTTTCCTGACCTAGGCACATAAAAAAACGCATTTATGCTCCCAAGAAATAAATGGTAATTCCTTAGCATACTTAAACTGCAGGTAAACCAAAAACAATTATCGAATCAATGCAGCTCATTGATTAATTTGGCACTCTGAGCTAGAATTGGCCAATTTTTATTTATTAGAAATGTAAAAAAACAACCAAGTGGAGTGATTAGAATTCTATGAACTCTGGGCTTAGTATCTCCGTTCTGCTCCTAGCGTTTCTGGGAATTTTAGTTCAGTTAACTACTAGCTAAACTAAGTAGTACACAAACAAAAATTCACTATATGCTCTAAAACACAAATACACCCTTTAAGGAAAAAAGTGTTCCCTTTAAGACACTCAGAATGAAGTAGAAACAGATAAAAGGGCTAAAACATGTATTCTAAAACCACCAAATAAAGTGATGAATAAAAGTTATGTACAACCTGATAAATGATCACAAAATTTTCTGCAAATAAATATATATGGCGCAGTATGTTCAATATAAATATCAGGTGGTAGAGAAAACACTAGATAGGTGTAGAATCAAGCATTGTACATAACCTTTATTATTTACTTTATTTGGTTGTTTTGTAATATATGTTTTAGCCCTTTTTGGTCATTTTTTTGTCATTTTTTTCTGTTTCTACTAGCTAAACTAAAACTCCCAAAAAGCTTTGCTGTCCTTCCAGATACCATGCTCACTTGTGTTATTATATATTGCAGGTTAGGAGACGAGAGGGGTGTAAACTAAGCTGGGTGCAAATACAGAAACCTTCAAGTGGGAAGTATTTTAGAACGGGGATGTTTAACATGGGCAGGGTCGGGTTAACATGCAGAATTCTGCATAACACCCCGCACCCCTCCAAAAACAAACAACAAAACAGGATATAAAATGGAGTATCCATAAAAATACACGTAATATTTTGGGCCAAAAACTATAAAATACATAAGTTATGTTGATGCATTTAGTATCCCTTTTCATATTTTGTACACTTCACATCCTGTTTTTAAGAAGATCTACCCTTTTCAAAGAGGGTATGTGTTTTATTCTGGAACACTTTCTCTTTGCTAATTTCACAGGGCCAGCGTCCTGTCTAGTACCCCCTTAATCTTGCTACTCACAGGGCTGCTAATTCTGGGGTGAGATAGCATGTGGCTCCAGTGATATTAATATTCGACAGGTTCTGCACAATCACATCTATTCTGAGATTGTGATACACAGAAATTCAAAGAATAAAAGACATATAAAAGCATTCTTCCATATTGTTTGTCCTCTTACTGCTCACAGCAAGCAATAAGAGCTCTCTCTAAACTCCTTTAATAGTATCTCATTGAGAAGAGTTGCTGCTTCCTCAATGGTATTTAAATAGTTTATTAAGAAAAATAATTTGTTAGATCATACTGTTTTCACTTTTATCTTCAAAATGTCACTTCCTAATTTAAGCAATAGATATTTTACACATGGCAGCATTTGCCATGTTAAGTTTTCTGGTCTTCACATCCCACTGTAAAGAGCATTATGGGATATGTAGTCTATAGCATCAGAATTGGAGAGATTGATCTAAATTAAGAAAGGTTATCAGATGTTTCCTTTAACTGGGAAATATGGAAAATATATCAATATAACAGGGCTGTTGTTAGATATCTGTCCTGAATGATGTGCATTTTAGAAGTTCCCTTAAAGGGGAGATTTGGATCACTTAATGCTAGGTGAAAGAACACGCACTAATTTGGCCAATCTTAGACATGAACACTCGCTGATTCTGTGCTGGATTTCATTTATATTAGTTGTCGTTTGAGCAAGTGGCTGCTTTAATTCGAGTTTTATCTTCCAGTTTAATATTCCGATTTATTTATAGATTTATAGATATTTTTTTCAAGGAGATCAGCATGTCTGTATAAATACACATGTTGTGAAAAGCATTCCTTAAGAGTCTGGGCAGTTACATAAATAATTAAATGATGAAACATAGTTTATTCAGAACAACTCTGGGTTAGAATTCTGAAAACTGAGCAATCCCCCCAACATTTCTGATTGCTCGTATGTAGTACAAGAATACCCCAGAATTATGTTTAAAAATATATCTATATATATCTTTCCCATATTGGGCTGTACCTTGCACCAAATCACAGCTTATCTGCAACAAAAAAAAGACTTGCAGGCCTGAACAGTTAAGTGTGGTGAGCCACAGTAAAGATCTTTAACAAACGTGTTGAACGTGACAGAGTTGGGGTAAATTGGCTAAATTATAGGCAATTGCAGCCATCACAGACTGATAAAACTTGATATGTATTCATTCAATTTCAGAAGGTTTAAGGATTTAGCATGTAAACGGGTGACATCGTTTACCCTGATTATGGCCTTTTAAAACCCGACTCTATAGCTGTCCCAGAAGACTGAAATTGCCCATTTGAGATAAAGGAAATATACCATACTGAGAACCTATTTTGCACTAATTTATTCTATTCCAACAGGTTCTAGACTGGTTATGAGTTTATCTTCGCATTAAATGGGTTCCTGACCGCAAGCAGCGCTGCTACCTGTTTACATAAGATCATTGTATATTATGATAGCAATGGTTACGGCTAACTGCGCCGTTCTCCTGAGAGGACACAGTTGGGAGTTAGTGTAAATTGTAATATGAAACTCAATGAGCTCTTCTGTGTACCTGCAGGCCCGTGTTATTATTTAACAATGTATGTTCCTATCTGTGATTATTCTGGTGGTGTGCTTCATGGAAAGTATCAGAAGAAATTGATTAAAAATTTCCTTGCTCTTTTTTAAAACGTGTGTGTGCAGTTTTTTTTCCCTGATGTCATTTAACTCCTTAAGGACCGCGTACGTACTAGGTACGTCTGACAAAAACGGTCCTTAAGGACCCCGGACGTACATAGTACTTAAACTGACAGGCAGTCTCTCTGCGTCTGTTAAAATCAAATAAAAAAAAATGTTAATATAAATTTTTTTTAAAAATGTGTATTTTTATATCAATATATACATATATTAATATAAAAATACACTTATAATTAAATTACACACGTGTGTGTGTGTGTGTATATATATATATATATATAACTATATAGATTGTGTGAATATATTATAAAATACAAAAAAGTAAATAAAAATAATTTTAAAAATTAGATGTCATTTTTTCTAACTGTATTTTGATATTAATATATATATTTATATCAAAATACACTTAGAATGAATTTATATATCGATGTATACATAAATAAAAAATAATACGAAATATATATATCCATATACATAATTACATAAATAATTTTATAAATATACATGTGGACTTCAAATATATAAATATGTATATATTTAAATTCTACGTGCATATTTATGTAATATTTTTACATAATTAAGTTTTTTAGTGGTTTTTTTTTTTATTGCAATTTGAGGGGCATGCCTGACAACCCGGGCCAAAAGTCCAGAAAGTGTAATTTGTTAGCAAATTAAGACTTCTCTGAACACAAATATTAGTGTTTCAAAACAGTAAAACATATCACTGCGATGATATTATCAGTAAAAGTGAAGTTTTTTGCATTTTTCACACACAAACGTCACTTTTACTGATATCATTGTTGATTATACACCGCACACAGACTGAGCTGATATTACATGAGGAATGTTATGATCTGCAGGTGGCAGTTTATTTATTTATTAATAGTTTATACATCGCACACAGATTGGGCTGATATTACATGAGGAATGTTATGATCTGCAGGTGGCAGTTTATTTATTTATTAATAGTTTATACATCGCACACAGACTGGGCTGATATTACATGAGGAATGTTATGATCTGCAGGTGGCAGTTTATTTATTAATAGTTTAATAGTTTATACACCGCACACAGACTGAGCTGATATTACATGAGGAATGTTATGATCTGCAGGTGGCAGTTTATTTATTAATAGTTTAATAGTTTATACACCGCACACAGACTGAGCTGATATTACATGAGGAATGTTATGATCTGCAGGTGGCAGTTTATTTATTTATTAATAGTTTATACACCGCACACAGACTGAGCTGATATTACATGAGGAATGTTATGATCTGCAGGTGGCAGTTTATTTATTAATAGTTTATACACAGCACACAGACTGGGCTGATATTACATGAGGAATGTTATGATCTGCAGGTGGCAGTTTATTTATTAATAGTTTAATAGTTTATACACAGCACACAGACTGAGCTGATATTACATGAGGAATGTTATGATCTGCAGGTGGCAGTTTATTTATTAATAGTTTAATAGTTTATACACCGCACACAGACTGAGCTGATATTACATGAGGAATGTTATGATCTGCAGGTGGCAGTTTATTTATTTATTAATAGTTTATACACCGCACACAGACTGAGCTGATATTACATGAGGAATGTTATGATCTGCAGGTGGCAGTTTATTTATTTATTAATAGTTTATACACCGCACACAGACTGAGCTGATATTACATGAGGAATGTTATGATCTGCAGGTGGCAGTTTATTTATTTATTAATAGTTTATACACCGCACACAGACAGCTGATATTACATGAGGAATGTTATGATCTCCAGGTGGCAGTTTATTTATTTATTAATAGTTTAATAGTTTATACACCGCACACAGACTGAGCTGATATTACATGAGGAATGTTATGATCTACAGGTGGCAGTTTATTTATTTATTAATAGTTTATACACTGCACACAGACTGGGCTGATATTACATGAGGAATGTTATGATCTGCAGGTGGCAGTTTATTTATTTATTAATAGTTTAATAGTTTATACACCGCACACAGACTGGGCTGATATTACATGAGGAATGTTATGATCTGCAGGTGGCAGTTTATTTATTAATAGTTTAATAGTTTATACACCGCACACAGACTGAGCTGATATTACATGAGGAATGTTATGATCTGCAGGTGGCAGTTTATTTATTAATAGTTTAATAGTTTATACACCGCACACAGACTGAGCTGATATTACATGAGGAATGTTATGATCTGCAGGTGGCAGTTTATTTATTTATTAATAGTTTATACACCGCACACAGACTGAGCTGATATTACATTAGGAATGTTATGATCTGCAGGTGGCAGTTTATTTATTAATAGTTTAATAGTTTATACACCGCACACAGACTGAGCTGATATTACATTAGGAATGTTATGATCTGCAGGCGGCAGTTTATTTATTAATAGTTTAATAGTTTATACACCGCACACAGACTGAGCTGATATTACATGAGGAATGTTATGATCTGCAGGTGGCAGTTTATTTATTAACAGTTTAATAGTTTATACACCGCACACAGACTGAGCTGATATCACATTAGTTTATTTATTTATTAATAGTTTAATAGTTTTATACACAGCACACAGACTGACTGATATTACATGAGGAATGTTATGATCTGCAGGTGGCAGTTTATTTATTAATAGTTTAATAGTTTATACACCGCACACAGACTGGGCTGATATTACATGAGGAATGTTATGATCTGCAGGTGGCAGTTTATTTATTAATAGTTTATACACCGCACACAGACTGAGCTGATATTACATGAGGAATGTTACGATCTGCAGGTGGCAGTTTATTTATTAATAGTTTAATAGTTTATACACCGCACACAGACTGAGCTGATATTACATGAGGAATGTTATGATCTGCAGGTGGCAGTTTATTTATTAATAGTTTAATAGTTTATACACAGCACACAGACTGGGCTGATATTACATGAGGAATGTTATGATCTGCAGGTGGCAGTTTATTTATTTATTAATAGTTTAATAGTTTATACACAGCACACAGACTGAGCTGATATTACATGAGGAATGTTATGATCTGCAGGTGGCAGTTTATTTATTTATTAATAGTTTAATAGTTTATACACTGCACACAGACTGAGCTGATATTACATGAGGAATGTTATGATCTGCAGGTGGCAGTTTATTTATTTATTAATAGTTTAATAGTTTATACACCGCACACAGACTGAGCTGATATTACATTAGGAATGTTATGATCTGCAGGTGGCAGTTTATTTATTAATAGTTTAATAGTTTATACATCGCACACAGACTGAGCTGATATTACATGAGGAATGTTATGATCTGCAGGTGGCAGTTTATTAATAGTTTAATAGTTTATACACCGCACACAGACTGGGCTGATATTACATGAGGAATGTTATGATCTGCAGGTGGCAGTTTATTTATTAATAGTTTAATAGTTTATACACCGCACACAGACTGAGCTGATATTACATGAGGAATGTTATGATCTGCAGGTGGCAGTTTATTTATTAATAGTTTAATAGTTTATACACAGCACACAGACTGGGCTGATATTACATGAGGAATGTTATGATCTGCAGGTGGCAGTTTATTTATTTATTAATAGTTTAATAGTTTATACACCGCACACAGGCTGAGCTGATATTACATGAGGAATGTTATGATCTGCAGGTGGCAGTTTATTTATTTATTAATAGTTTATACACAGCACACAGACTGAGCTGATATTACATGAGGAATGTTATGATCTGCAGGTGGCAGTTTATTTATTTATTAATAGTTTATACACCGCACACAGACTGAGCTGATATTACATGAGGAATGTTATGATCTGCAGGTGGCAGTTTATTTATTAATAGTTTATACACCGCACACAGACAGCTGATATTACATGAGGAATGTTATGATCTCCAGGTGGCAGTTTATTTATTTATTAATAGTTTAATAGTTTATACACTGCACACAGACTGAGCTGATATTACATGAGGAATGTTATGATCTACAGGTGGCAGTTTATTTATTTATTAATAGTTTATACACCGCACACAGACTGGGCTGATATTACATGAGGAATGTTATGATCTGCAGGTGGCAGTTTATTTATTTATTAATAGTTTAATAGTTTATACACCGCACACAGACTGAGCTGATATTACATGAGGAATGTTATGATCTGCAGGTGGCAGTTTATTTATTAATAGTTTAATAGTTTATACACCGCACACAGACTGGGCTGATATTACATGAGGAATGTTATGATCTGCAGGTGGCAGTTTATTTATTAATAGTTTATACACCGCACACAGACTGAGCTGATATTACATGAGGAATGTTACGATCTGCAGGTGGCAGTTTATTTATTAATAGTTTAATAGTTTATACACCGCACACAGACTGAGCTGATATTACATGAGGAATGTTATGATCTGCAGGTGGCAGTTTATTTATTAATAGTTTAATAGTTTATACACAGCACACAGACTGGGCTGATATTACATGAGGAATGTTATGATCTGCAGGTGGCAGTTTATTTATTTATTAATAGTTTAATAGTTTATACACAGCACACAGACTGAGCTGATATTACATGAGGAATGTTATGATCTGCAGGTGGCAGTTTATTTATTAATAGTTTAATAGTTTATACACCGCACACAGACTGAGCTGATATTACATGAGGAATGTTATGATCTCCAGGTGGCAGTTTATTTATTAATAGTTTAATAGTTTATACACCGCACACAGACTGAGCTGATATTACATGAGGAATGTTATGATCTGCAGGTGGCAGTTTATTTATTAATAGTTTAATAGTTTATACACTGCACACAGACTGAGCTGATATTACATGAGGAATGTTATGATCTGCAGGTGGCAGTTTATTTATTAATAGTTTAATAGTTTATACACCGCACACAGACTGAGCTGATATTACATGAGGAATGTTATGATCTGCAGGTGGCAGTTTATTTATTAATAGTTTATACACAGCACACAGACTGGGCTGATATTACATGAGGAATGTTATGATCTGCAGGTGGCAGTTTATTTATTAATAGTTTAATAGTTTATACACAGCACACAGACTGAGCTGATATTACATGAGGAATGTTATGATCTGCAGGTGGCAGTTTATTTATTAATAGTTTAATAGTTTATACACAGCACACAGACTGGGCTGATATTACATGAGGAATGTTATGATCTGCAGGTGGCAGTTTATTTATTTATTAATAGTTTAATAGTTTATACACCGCACACAGACTGGGCTGATATTACATGAGGAATGTTATGATCTGCAGGTGGCAGTTTATTTAATAATAGTTTAATAGTTTATACACCGCACACAGACTGAGCTGATATTACATTAGGAATGTTATGATCTGCAGGCGGCAGTTTATTTATTAATAGTTTAATAGTTTATACACCGCACACAGACTGAGCTGATATTACATTAGGAATGTTATGATCTGCAGGTGGCAGTTTATTTATTAATAGTTTAATAGTTTATACACCGCACACAGACTGGGCTGATATTACATGAGGAATGTTATGATCTGCAGGTGGCAGTTTATTTATTTATTAATAGTTTAATAGTTTATACACAGCACACAGACTGAGCTGATATTACATGAGGAATGTTATGATCTGCAGGTGGCAGTTTATTTATTAATAGTTTAATAGTTTATACACAGCACACAGACTGGGCTGATATTACATGAGGAATGTTATGATCTGCAGGTGGCAGTTTATTTATTTATTAATAGTTTAATAGTTTATACACCGCACACAGGCTGAGCTGATATTACATGAGGAATGTTATGATCTGCAGGTGGCAGTTTATTTATTTATTAATAGTTTATACACAGCACACAGACTGAGCTGATATTACATGAGGAATGTTATGATCTGCAGGTGGCAGTTTATTTATTTATTAATAGTTTATACACCGCACACAGACTGAGCTGATATTACATGAGGAATGTTATGATCTGCAGGTGGCAGTTTATTTATTAATAGTTTATACACCGCACACAGACAGCTGATATTACATGAGGAATGTTATGATCTCCAGGTGGCAGTTTATTTATTTATTAATAGTTTAATAGTTTATACACTGCACACAGACTGAGCTGATATTACATGAGGAATGTTATGATCTACAGGTGGCAGTTTATTTATTTATTAATAGTTTATACACCGCACACAGACTGGGCTGATATTACATGAGGAATGTTATGATCTGCAGGTGGCAGTTTATTTATTTATTAATAGTTTAATAGTTTATACACCGCACACAGACTGAGCTGATATTACATGAGGAATGTTATGATCTGCAGGTGGCAGTTTATTTATTAATAGTTTAATAGTTTATACACTGCACACAGACTGAGCTGATATCACATGAGGAATGTTATGATCTGCAGGTGGCAGTTTATTTAATAATAGTTTATACACTGCACACAGACTGAGCTGATATTACATGAGGAATGTTATGATCTGCAGGCGGCAGTTTATTTATTAATAGTTTAATAGTTTATACACCGCACACAGACTGAGCTGATATTACATGAGGAATGTTATGATCTGCAGGCGGCAGTTTATTTATTAATAGTTTAATAGTTTATACACCGCACACAGACTGAGCTGATATTACATTAGGAATGTTATGATCTGCAGG